CGCACTGCCCAGGGTCTTTTCTCTGCCCTCAGTGACCTTTACCACTACTATGGCGTCACCTCATCTCGAAAGTACCTCGAGCAGTTCTCCAACGGTATTACCGTCATGAGTGTCTACCTCCGACCTGCTTCTGACACCGTCGAGACCAGTGGACAGTTCCCTTCTCTTGACGAGTCCATTGACCAGATCTCAAAGGAGGTTTCTCTCCTCTACTGTCTTCCCCACAACAAGTTCCACAACCTTTTCCTCGATGGACAGCTCAGTCTTCAGGAATCCGTCTACGCCCACTCCGCTTGGGTCTTCGTTCAGCACTTCCTGAACCGATTGGGACCAGAGTACTCTACTCTTGCCGAGCTTCTGGATGTTAAGAACAACGCTCAGCAGGCCCTCCTTTCTAACCTGAAGCGCCGTCTCCGTTCCGAGACCTTTACCCCTGAGTACATCTATGAGATTATTCAGAACTACCCTGGTCTCGTTCGTGCTCTCTATGCTTCTTTCGCCAACATCCACCTTGTTAAGGACCAGGAGGACCCCGTGAAGGTCGTCTCCTCCAGCCTGTCCGTCGAGGTTCTCTCCGACGACGCTCTCAAGGACAAGATCGCCAAGAACGTCAACAACGAGCACGATGAGATGGTTCTCACTGCTTTCCGTGTCTTCAACAACGCCATCCTCAAGACCAACTACTTCACCCCTACCAAGGTCGCTCTGAGCTTCCGTCTTGACCCCTCTTTCCTCCCCGAGGTCGAGTACCCCAAGCCCCTCTACGGCATGTTTCTCGTCATCAGCTCTGAGTCCCGAGGTTTCCACCTCCGATTCAAGGATATCTCTCGTGGTGGTATCCGAATCGTCAAGTCTCGCAACAAGGAGGCTTATGGCATCAACGCCCGCAGCATCTTCGACGAGAACTACGGTCTTGCCAGCACACAGCAGCGCAAGAACAAGGACATTCCTGAGGGTGGCTCCAAGGGTGTCATTCTGTTGGACCCTAAGCAGCAGAACCGTGCCCGTGAGGCTTTCGAGAAGTACATTGATAGTATCCTTGATCTTCTTCTGCCCGCCGAGACCCCTGGTATCAAGAACCCTATTGTCGACCTCTACGGCAAGGAGGAGATCATCTTCATGGGCCCTGATGAGAACACTGCCGAGCTGGTCGACTGGGCTACTGAGCACGCTCGATCCCGTGGCGCCCCCTGGTGGAAGTCCTTCTTCACTGGCAAGTCTCCCAAGCTTGGCGGTATTCCTCACGACACCTACGGCATGACCACTCTGTCCGTTCGTGAGTACGTCAAGGGTATCTACCGAAAGCTCGAGCTTGACCCCTCTACCATCCGCAAGATGCAGACTGGTGGCCCCGATGGTGATCTGGGCAGCAACGAGATCAAGCTTGGTAACGAGAAGTACACTGCCATTGTCGATGGCTCTGGAGTTCTTGCTGACCCCAACGGTCTCGACCGTGACGAGCTTCTGCGCCTTGCGAACGGCCGCAAGATGATCATCGAGTACGATGTTTCCAAGCTGTCTCCCGAGGGTTACCGAGTCCTGTGCGACGACGTCAACATCACTCTCCCCAATGGTGAGGTTATCAACAACGGCACATCGTTCCGTAACACCTTCCATCTCCGTGACACTGGCAGTGTCGACTGCTTCGTCCCTTGTGGTGGTCGTCCCGCCTCCATTGACCTCATCTCGGTCAACCGTCTCATCAAGGATGGAAAGTGCATCTTCCCGTACCTCGTTGAGGGAGCCAATCTCTTCATTACCCAGGAGGCTAAGCTTCGCCTTGAGGCTGCTGGCTGCATTCTGTACAAGGATGCCTCTGCCAACAAGGGTGGTGTGACATCGTCCTCCCTTGAGGTTCTTGCTTCTCTGTCCTTCGACGACGAGGGCTTCGTTGAGAACATGTGCCACAACGCCCAGGGCGAGGCTCCTCAGTTCTACCAGGACTACGTCAAGCAGGTTCAGCTCAAGATTCAGGAGAATGCCCGTCTGGAGTTTGAGGCTATCTGGCGCGAGCACGAGCAGACCGGAACTCCCCGATCTATCCTCTCCGACAAGCTCTCCGTTGCCATTACCGATCTCGATGAGAAGCTCCAGCACTCCGACCTCTGGGACAACGAGAAGATCCGCCGATCTGTCCTTCAAGATGCTCTGCCCCGCCTTCTCCTCGAGAAGATTGGGCTCGACACCTTGATTGCTCGCATCCCCGACTCCTACCTCCGAAGCATCTTCGGCTCCTACCTTGCCAGTCGATTCGTGTACGAGTTCGGCAGCAGCCCCAGCCAGTTTGCCTTCTACGACTTGTAAGTACAACCCATGACACCATGATACCAGAACATATGCTAACTATTGCAACAGTATGTCTAAGCGTATGGCCCAGATCGCCAACTAAAAAGTTGATTGCATGGAACGGTGTTGAAGCGTATGATTTGATTTGTTTACAAGCATAGCATTATTTGTTTTCTCTGATGAGAGATGAGCATTGTCACGGTGTGTTTGCCATATTTGGGACGGCCCTGGCATGGGCCTAATGAATGGGTCAAGGTTAAAGAAAAGTAAGAAAAGACTATGTTTATGTAGTCGATATTAATCAAGATTTTGAAGTTCATAATTTATTTCCTACAGTAGTGACTTTACTTGGTGAGTTCACCCGGTGAAACTTGTGCCGTTTCTGGTGGCTTCTGCTGTTGCGTTGCACTTTGATCAAAGACTTTGAGACACATGATTGTCTCGGGAGAATTGCTGAACGACTTGGAGATCTGATTGCTCAAAATGATCTATCAGCCGTGCTGAGTATGATAGAAATAGAACACATCAGACTAACTAACGTTAGGTACCTGGTACATGAGATGCATGGCATTGTCACGTGTCATGTATAGACAGCTTGATTTCATTGGATGTTGATAGTTCATTGGCGGGACAACAACCTGCATGCAGATACATATGCGTGAGGTCGTATCATAGCCTCCTCATATGTACAATGAGTTTATCGTGGCAAAGGCTGTATGGCTGATCTGTTGCATAGATGGCCGAGTTGGTAGACAAGCACATGATAAGAGACGAATGGTTATTTCCTCTGCAAGACGGTGTTTTGGTGTAATCCAATGGTATGCTGGGTAATTGCACTGCATACCTCATGGCGTGGTAGACTTGGACATGTGAGGTTACAGACAACAGACTACAGAGGTGATTTTGAGGCCACTAGGGGTTACAGTGATTGCCACGCAGAGTATCGGCCTGGCAATTGAGTACAAGTAAGCATCAAATTGGCGAACTCGGGTGCATCATGACATTTAATTACATAACTTCAGTGACGTTGAAAAGTCAATTGAAGGAGTGACTGTCTTATTTCCACAACGTGGATTGAAGCTGGGAAAAGAGACTGGAACATTTACTCACAGCCAATGAAGGCAATTTCCCCTGAGCAATGGAGACCAAGACCCATTTGGCGTGTGGACGTTTCAGCGTTTCAAAGGCCCCGCCGAGACGCGGGTGGCCCTGAACGATTCCCCGGTTGCGTTAGAGCCAAAGTTTACGGTTTCTTGGAAACGCTAATCATTCAGGGGTTTTAATGGGAAACGCGCTCCATCCCGTCTTGTCACGGAATCGGCGCGAGGTAAAATGCCACCCACCCGACCACAAGAGGAGACAGTGTACAATATATTTGATGGAGAGTAAGTGATATGCAATCAATCAATGTAAATAGACCAAAAGCACTGTCAATGGGTACCTAAGTAGCCATTACAGTGCGTTGCATGACTCTCTGTACCTATTCAACGTTAGCTCACTTCTCAATCATTGCTGCAGCTCGCATCATGATCCTTTACTCGACTGGTTCAGCCCTCAAAGGGAGAGTCTCGGAGTGGAAAAGAGAGACCCCTGCTATCAGTATCGTCGTCTCGTCATGCGCTCTTCTTTTCTTTTGCCTCCATTTATCGTTCTCTCCCGTCTTGGCCCCAATGATGGTCTAATAGACCGGCCATGAAACCGCAGCCTCCACTTTTGTTTCCGTGCAGTAGATCTTTTTGCACTCGATTCTCGAGCTGCTTTCAGCCTGGATGGACGAGTTATCTGAAACGGGTGACGCTCCATTCAACGGCCTCGTCCCCGTCCGCACTAACTAACATCAACCATCCGTTTGCGATAGACGGAGTGCATTAGGGGCTTTGATATCTGGACTACGTGGTTAGAATAGGAGACTGAAATTTTGCTAAAAGATTCTAGAGGGATTGTTAGGGCAGAAAACGTTAGATCTGTTCCTCTTGAATCAGTGACCACACCAATAGAGGTGCCTGACAGTGACAGTATCAGTGGTAGTTTCACTGCGGCAGTGGAGTCAGTCTTTTTGGTGCCCTGCCAAGGTCCCGCCAGGAAACGAAACTTGGGCCAGACCAGTTTACTTTATTATTATTATTACTACTACTACCTACAGTACTACTACGCCATCCTTTTCCCACACAGACACAGAACAAAGATCGTCGCTCGTCCTCTCCAGTTTTTCGACACCCAGAGATTCGTTCCCACTCACTTGCGCAGAAGCAGCTTCATGTTGGACGAGCCCGTGGCTGGCCACTGGGCATTTTGGTTGATCGATTGACTTTTACGGGCGCAACCTTGTTCACCACGCTGAGCGACACCAAATCCAATCGAGGACCACGACCGAAAGCCTGATATTGCAAGGCCCCCAACGACCGAAGCAAGCAAACAAACAAACAAATCAATCAGGTACCTCTGAGTTGGACGAGGATATCCTCGCAAGGATCTACCGCCCGCCTCTCACGTAACGGCATACATACTGTACTGTGGACAGGCAACAAAAAACCCGGCCCCCAGCCGTCAGCATCCAACACCCGAGTTTGAAATAAAAAATTGAGACGGCGCTTCTCTGGTGCCAGGGGTCAAGCATCTCCCATCTTTTGGTGCCTTGCGCCTTCAGGGACAGTTGTCGTCGGAGCAGAGTGACTTGTTGTTGACGGCCTCGCTCGTCGTTTCTATCCGTCAAAATGACACGACCATCGATCGTCAGAGCCGGTATGTGCCTAGTGTTTTGCCTTTGCTGTCCTGTCCTGCCTTTTACACTTGGAACGAGATGCCAATGTCACCCTAAGTCTTAGTCTTTGGGATTTGCGATCGGGGTGCATCGCCTCTTGCGCAGCCTCATCCTCGTGTTGTTTCGTCGGTCCCTCTTACAATGCAACTTTCTTTCCCCTGCCCCCTTTATACATACAAACTTCGCTTCGTCTTTTCAACCACATGGAACCCTTGAAGTAGACCTTCGGCCAACTTCTCCCTCGCCCATTCTTTTTTTTATTACTTTCTTTTTCTTTACGTTTCATCGTACTTTCGTCTACCCTTGCCCCCGGTCACTGTCCAAGCTCGAACCTTTCTGTTGCTCTCCGGGGTCGCTGCAAGTCATGATACATTCCAACCACTCGACTTAGTCCTCTACTTTCACATTCCTTGTGTTCATAAGCTTCTTTTGACGACACCACAAACTGACGTTAACGACCCTTTGCCCCGATCGCAGATACTATCGATCTCCAAGATCATCACTCTCCATCCGCTCAGGACCACTCGAAGAGCCCACGCCTGGGCGGCAACGCCAACTCCCTAGGTCCCCACCAAGCTGAGACTATTCGTGAGGTCACACACGACATTGCAGACGAACAGCGACGCTCTCCAAGAGTTTCTCTCGACAACCGCAACAGTCTCGACGAAATTGATTCCTTTGCAGACGAACTTGTCGCCAACTCTACAAGTGGGAATACTCGCGCACAGGGCGCACGCGACAACAATAGCAATATGAATCAAGAAGATGCGCTGGCAATTGCGCAGAATGGAGGCGTCTCATCTTCGGATGAGGGCGAGCTCGACGGCGACGATGACCTCGATGACGACATGATGGATAAGATCTCAAGTTCGCCTTCGATTGAAGATGGTGGGTGCTACCCCGTCGCTACCCCTGCGGCATGGCCACGCCGTGTCTCTTCCCTACCTTCGCAGAGGAGTAGTACTCCCAGTATCTCTGGTTCAAGCGGCACCAGAGTTTGCTCGCCATATCCTGAACCCCCCAACTACGTACCCAGTCCATGCGCAATTGCGCAGCTTCCACGAGCATTACTCACAAAAGTCCGGAACCATCGTCTTCATGGTGAGTATGACGGTCGCGACGAGCATAATAACGACGCCGAACCCGAACCCGACGATAGTTGGACAACGTCCAATTCGACAGCCGAATTTCACGAAATGTTCGAAGAAGTTGAACCACAGGCTAGGTCCAGCAGCAATGAAGGCTAGCATCCTTCTGCTGAAGGATTGAGCATTGGAGGAAAGGGCACCGTAGCCGATAACAGAGAGCAGGATATTTTCTATGATTGTGATCCAATGCTGGATCTATCCGATTCGGATTTTGACGACGACGAAAGCCCCGACTTCGATCCCGCACTTACTGTTCCCTACGAAGAATCTTTTGAAGACGATGATTCTGAACTCTCCATTCCTGACGACTACAATTTCATTGACTCCGGCTGGGCGGTTGAGTGCTTACAAGACATAGAGGATATTGATTTCGAATTCGTTTACGCGCTTCACACTTTCGTGGCCACCGTTGAAGGTCAAGCAAATGCAACCAAAGGTGACACCATGGTTTTGCTAGACGATAGCAACAGCTACTGGTGGCTAGTCAGAGTTGTTAAAGACAGCAGCATTGGTAAGTACAAAGATTTCCACCTCCACTGGTCAGTGACTAACGAAATACCAGGATATCTACCTGCAGAGCATATTGAAACGCCAACGGAACGTCTAGCACGTCTGAATAAACACAGGAATGTCGATGTACGTAAATTGGCTTCGTTTTTGACTCAAACTTGTTACTAAAACCCAATACAGCTCTCTGCAACTATGTTGGGGGATACGGCGGAGAAGAAGCAACAAACGTTCAAATCGCCAATTAGATTTGGACGCAAAACGGTCACATTCACTTCACCCACGTACCACGACTACACTGAGATCGACGACTATTCGTCCGACGAAGAAGACTTGGATGACTTATTCGCCGGCTCGACCACTACAGCCAAGCAAGATCAACAACAAGAACAAAAGAAAGATCGAGATCCAGCTTCGACAATATCGATCATAGAAGATGATTCATCAGAGGAGAGCGCCAGGGTTGAGCCTCTCAAGCCCCGTTCAAATAAAGATGTTAAAATGGCTATGGAGCCGTCAAAGGTTGACACTGTGGAAGAGGAAGATGAGACGAGAAGCAGTGAGGAAATACTATTCGACAACAAACAGGAAGGCCCCAGCAGATCCCGCAATGGTACCGTCAGAAACACCGACTCTTTCTTTAGAGATGAGACAGTCGAGACCAAGAAGATCACTCTCACGCCCAATTTACTACGAGACGACAACCAACCTCGGCCGTCTCAGGACTCAACAACCAAGGATATCAAGTCCCGAGGAAGTCTTGATAAGCTAGACAAGGAGCTCATGTCCGACAAGGAGAAGAAGAAGCACCAAGATAAGTCTCGGAAAGAGAAGGAAAAGAAGCCGAGCGCCATCCGAAGTTTCTTTTCCAGAAAGGACAGAAAGAAGTCGGTCGACGACGATGACGAATCTTTTGGCAAGCGCTCTATGGATATCGTATCGGAGCCTCGGGACAGCGAGTCAATTGAAGAGGTCGCATCGCCTGATAGACAACCGCAACGGAGTACAAGCAAACTTCAGAAGCAGCTCCCACGAACTGAAGCATCTCCTGGCAAGGGTGGGGAGACCTCGTCGACCATGGAACTCGCAGCTTATCTGGCCGAGTCTCGGGTCAACGATGTGTCCAACGTGCCACCAGCGTCGATGCGGATCGTCAATCCCGAGACACAGGAGACACATGAAGTGCCATCAAATTCACAAAGTGGTGGGGATCCGGCCAAGGTACGTTCCTCTTCAGCCGCTGCACAACACGACGATACGAAGGCATTGGCGAGGGCGTTGGGCCGCAGCGCAAGCACAGGGGGCGAGCCTAGGGCAACCAAGACAGTCAAGCCTCGGCCATTGATGGACCTGGATGAACTGTCAAGCTCCGACGAGGATGATGTGTCTCAGCCTACGAACCGAACGACACCAGAGCAACCCGTCGAGAAGAAGCCCGAGGGCGGGCTACGGCCACAACTGCCAGGAGCGTTCCCTGATAGCTTCGATGCAACCGCCAAGCCGAACGCATCCACAGCGGCAGGCCAAGGCCAGAAAGATCGTCTGTCAGAATCACCGGTGCAGTTGTCACCTGTCAACACAACACGGCCACCAGCACTGGAGATTGACACGTCCTCCCAAGAAGGTCGCTCGTCCTCCGATGTACCGTCACCAGAGCTCATGCCTGGTGACGAGACACCTAAGGATAGTAGCTCAACGAAAAGTGCCAAAGAACCTGGCTGGGATGACGAGAAACTTCGAGCCTTCTTTGACGATGGTGAGCACGTTCGAGATCTGCTCATGGTCGTGTACGACAAGACAGACGTGGAACCTGTTAGCAAAGATCACCCGGTGGTCAGTGGTATGTTTAGAGAACAGAACGCTAAGCTAGCGGAGATTACCACTGTGAGTATTTTCATCGTCGCCTCATTTGGCATACATTATATTGCAGCAATACTAATGCATCTACAGCAACTTGACAACATGCTCGGGGACTGGTTGGCTAGGAAGCAACGGCTTCGCGGCTCAGTATGAAATAGCATATCGAAGCACGAGGGCGTTTTGAGTATATCGTTGGCTTTAACAGCTGGGCCAGAGGCCTAGCTCTGTATGAAAAGGAGATCTCATTCTTGGTTCGTTGAACGACTTGACTATCTAGGGGAATATGGATTGCTGGTTCTGGACACGTCCATGAAGACAGTCCATTGTGTTAGGTATAGGCGTTTGAAGGGCACGACTTTTTTGATTGAGCGAGGATTGGCATGAATCGAATCCTCGGGCCGTGCTTTGGGCATTTTGACATATCCTTGGGACCTAGTTTTACAGAGGGCGCCTCTGTTGATAAGAAGTATTTGCATACATATATATACACAAACATCATTTATAGCGAGAAGATTCCGGATGTCGGAGTAGCCATTTTCACGTGAAGGGATCCCTGTATGTGCATGGAGTGAGTGTATGTATGCCTCTTTGTATGCAAAGTGATTGACCCAGCCACTCTTTTTTCAACACGTCCCGGCCATGATTACCGAAGAGGCTAAGGAGGTTAGGCCAGGTCGGTAGTTTCATGTGGTGTCGTGCAGAACAAGCGAGTGAGAATACGGGTGATGCTGATAGTGCATGAAGTTATTCATTCATGTTTGTAGATAGGTAGTTAGAGAATTAGAGGAGACCGAGGTCTAGAGGAGACAGCCGAGAGGAGGAAAAGAATGCGACGTTTACTTGTGGCTGAAATAACCATTCAAGGCCTGGGGAGCTCCATAGGCTGCTGTACATAAGAGGAAGCTGGTGGGTTCTGAGTGGATGTCAGCACGCAAGCTCGCCAATTTGGGAGCTGGAGCCGCGGTAGCTGAAGCTGCCGAATGGAGGCACCCATTTTACCAAGGGTAAACACTGTTTTGTTTTGAGAGATTTGGTTGGCTCGATTGTTATTATTTACAGCGGGCCGAGGCATTGTGGACTGGGCACCTCAGATTAAATGTAGGTATCGTTTGAGTATATTTTAGGCTTAAGCCATGCTGCAACGGTACCCCAACTCTACTTGTCCCAGCCACCGTCTTTGGACGTTGCCCCTGTCTTGTTGCAGCTCAAGCGTCTGGAGTGAGCTGAGCTTGACTTAGGTTGACTTGACTTCTTTCTCTTCAATCTCATCTCCCAGTCAAAGTCCACTCCAGCCCAGTTCAGCGCGCACGCACTCCTCCCGTCCTCCCCCGAAGGCTCAAGGCTCAAGCCCCCCCCCCAGATCGGTCACCTCCATCCATCCTTAGCACCCAAGGCCTGAGACAAACAAATCAACACCAACACCAACCCAACCGCTACCTACCTACCTACGCTCCACTCACTTCCACGTCTGTCTCCCCCATCTCACCATCTTCAACTTATCATCATCACCACCATCATCATCCTTCGGCACCGGCGCTTGTAAGTTTATTTTCTTCCTTTCCTCTCTGTTCCGATTACCCTGGACCGGGATGAGCTCCATCTCCACGTCAACAACAACAGCATCCATCACCTTCCATCACATCACCCGTCATCATCGACTTGCAGCCCTTCCCTCAACCTCTCTGGCCTTGGTCTCGTTGCTCGAGTAAACAAAGCCATTGGCTAGATACCTCACGAGAACTTCAATTGGCTCTGACCCACCCCAATCCTTGCCTTACAATATTCTCTCACAATCTTGTCAAGTCTTCTCTCCTGTCATCCATTGTCATGTCCAGCTGCTGCTGTTGAGCGAGCGCGCACATTCCCTCATCCCCATGTCAATAACGATCCGCGATCGTTAGACCCCACCTGTTTATATTGGACATCCTCACTGACACTTCGGTCAAAGTCTCTCTTGCGCGTCTGACCCTTGACTCGACCCGTTGATGACGCCGTCGCGGCCGTGTTGACTTTGACGATAACATCCGACGAGGACGATCACGACGACGACGAAAAGGACATAGCGCGCCGTGAGCACAAACCAAGATCCAACAGATCAAAGGCATCATTCAATCTGGAGCAATTTACCCTGAGTCGGATCAAAATAATATTCTTATCTGGACCTCGAACTAGAACGCGCTTCTCACTTAATCATACCCTTCACCATCACCGCCATATAGCCGAATAATAGCAAGCATGGTTGACTTCAAGAGTGAAACCGTCACCAAGGTGTCGGAAAAGGTCCACGATGCCACTGAAAAGATGGGCGACATGCTTGACCAGGCCGAAGCTGGCAAGATTCCTGGCACAAAGGGCCACCACCCCGTCTCTGCTGTGATCGGTACAGCTTTGACCGGTGGTATGAAGAATGCTGGTACCAAGGGTTATCTGGCGGTACGTTGGAGACCCGACCCTACCTGCTCAGGATGCTGGAAGCTAGAATGCGCATAAGCTACTCCCCCAAGCTATGATGCTATGGCTCTGCAATATCCTAGAGGAAAACAACATTGATCATGACTGACGAACTGATAGGCTTACATCAAAGAGCTTGAGGACAATCCTCTGCGCACCAAGATGCTCACCGCTGGTACTCTTGCTGGTACACAGGAGCTCGTCGCTTCATGGCTCGCCAAGGACCGCAACAAGCACGGCAACTACTTCACTGCTCGTGTTCCCAAGATGGCCGCATATGGTGCTCTCATCAGCGCTCCTCTAGGTCATTTCCTCATCTGGGCGCTCCAGAAGGCTTTCAAGGGCCGCACCAGCCTGCGCGCCAAGATTCTGCAGATTCTTGTCAGCAATCTCATTGTAAGTTATAAACAGCATTCCTTGATTATCCAGCTCGTGCGCATGTGGAGGCAGAGATCGATGGTTTGAAAGAACAAGTCTGTGCGATCAAGTTGCAAGTGAGACGATTGAAGTACGCTCATGTTCGGAGAAAACTTGGGAACGCAACTTGAGCGAGATTTGAAGGACCCAGTTTTGTATCATCAGTCGCTAACACAACCCCTAGATCGCTCCTATCCAGAACAGCGTCTACCTCGTTGCTATGGCTCTCATCGCCGGCGCTCGCACCTACCATCAGGTTCGTGCTACCGTCAAGGTTGGCTTCTGGAAGGTGATGCGGGTCTCGTGGATCACCTCGCCTATCTGCCTGGCTTTTGCTCAGAAGTTCCTCCCTGATCAGCTCTGGGTACCCTTCTTCAACATCGTGTCCTTCATCATCGGCACCTACATCAACACCATCACCAAGAAGAAGCGTCTCGCAGCTCTCCGCAAGAAGCACTTCGGTGACGACCGTCGATCCAACGCCGGTGATATGCGACCAGGCCGCCCCGATGACTACCCTCCTCCTGGCATGGGTGGCCCCAACCCTCCCTACTAAGCGACTCCATCTCAAGCGCCGATCCGAGCTCAGCCACGCCAATGAAGCTAGGTGCAAGATGGCATTAGGAACGGCTAAAGAGGAGGGAAACCTAGTGACGAAGGAGTGAACCAACATTGACTTCTTGGCGATGGGTGGATGATGTCGAAACCCATGCTCGGATGGGTCGTGTCGCTTGACAAGTATATACCCGAGATGAGGGGGTGAGTTGGACCGGTGCCCGTCCTGAACTCAGGCTGTTGAATATGTATCTACAAGAGAAATTCTGGTTAAGGATAAGGGAAATGTGGAGGGGAAGTGGTAAGATGTGTATGTTTGTATGTGCGAGTTGCTGGTTAATGAAATGAACTAGTATTTTTATCTTTTTTATACACCTTCTATAGTAGAGTTACCTGGTTGGCCTGTTAGAGCCTAATTTGAGGATATGTGAGAATAACTCTGATACGTGAGTGACATCTGCCTGAAACTTTGAGCTAAAGGCCTTGGGGCCTATCATTTCGGAAGAGGTCTTCGCATCTCCCGTATGACATCATGGTTGGAAACTCTTGATGGTGGCTTCGGGCTGCTGGGCCGGGACTATTTGCAGATGCGAAATGTCCCTTGGCTGGGCAACTCGCCATGGCATGCGAGGTGAGTGATGGAGGCTCGATGAACAAGTATAGTAGCCTGACTACATGAGGGACCAAAACAAGACAGGCACCTCATGAGTTTCCAGTACTCTTGCTTTGTCTTATGAGATCGCGGCCGGGGCTTCTGCTTTGCCAAAATAGTCGTATAGCCTGCCGTGTTTCGAGACACTCCGTAGAGGGAGAAGTCAGTGCTTTAGGGTGCTTCAGTCGCCTTGATCCGGAGCAGCAGTCTCGGCCATAAATCCAGGGCTCCAATACTCCCACTCGCCCTTTGTCTGCTTATCAACCCACAGCATGCCGCCTGCAACGAGATCGTCTATCACGGTTCGGGCGCGCGCCCTATCCCAGCCCAGGTTGTCCCTCAGCATACTGACACTCACATAACCCAGGACTTGGGCCGCTTCGACGACCGAGACTTGGTCATCGTTGAGTTCACGGGGTACACTCCGCACATACTCCTTTCGGCCTACACGCACGACAGCATACGCGCCGCCTAGCGGAGCAAGCGTCTGTACAGCGCGCCGGATATCATCGTCAGCAATGGGATCAGCGCCATCCATACGTCCTGCGGCAACCCGCTCTCTCAGTTCCGCCAGACCGATAAGACCTCCATTCTCCCCGCGTGTGGCGCCGCAAACCTCAACAATCCTTACAGCGAGCTCAAAGTAAAAATCGTTGACCGTCTTTCCGAGTAACTGGGCCCATATGGAGCTTCCATCCGAGCTGCTGTTGCTATTGCTGCTCGCTAGTGGATCTACGCCGATGGCAGCGCACATGCGAGCAAACTGGGCGCGAAAAGCGGGATCGGAGCGGATATCGCGAGCGTGTGTGTTTGCGAACTGCTGGAGGAGGGAGCGGAACACGGCGAGCTGTGTTTCGAGAGCTTGGGCGTTGTTGGCGCGCAGGGAGGAGCCATGAGATGCGAATTGTGCTGATGTGAGACGTGAGCGGTCAAAGGCCGCAAGGCCTACGCCTTTGCGTGACATTGTAGAAGTTTGGGATGGGGTTGTTGGAGGAGTAAGGTAAGGTTGGTGTTGATGTTAGTGGAGGGTCGGGATTACGTCAAATGGCGGGGGTGGGCCTTGATAGATAGATGGGATTGTGAGACAGATCCCTCGATATGCATGGTTTTAAGTATATATATACAAACCGTATTCAGGTCCAAACTCTGAATAAGATATGTTGTTTAAGAGACTACAAACAGTTGGGCAGTGGAAGATGGGGGAGAAAATTGTTGCTCTTATACACCAGTTGGCTGCTGATTGAGTGAGCATAGGATGCCCTAGTTGCAAACAGAGAATTCCCACAATAGTCCAAGAATTGGATGTCATCAGAATCAGCCCCCATACAAATTGGCGCTCATCTACTTGTCAACATAAAGGAAGTGATCAACTTTGTAGTTGTTTGGTGTAAGTTGATTCGACTAAAGCAGCCCAAAGAGGTGGTGGGTCCACTTTGAAGTCGGTACCTCTACGATGCAATTTCCCACCTCAGACTTGACCTCGCTCTCCTTTGTTCTTATTCCCACTTGCACAACATCACAGCAATTAACTACTCAACTTCAAAGTTCAAGCCTCTACAATATGTTTATGCACGAGTCTATCTATCATGTATCTCCTGCAACGGAATCTCTCGGCCTTCGAGACCGAGACCTGTTCCTTCTTTGAACCCAAGAGTGGTGTGGTTTGGCGTGTATGGTCTGTCATGATATGATACCATTTTGGATTTAACTTTCCAAAACGAACAAGTCTTTAGTCTTCTCTCCTTTTGATATCATCCTGGAAGCCTCTGACTTTGGCCCTGATACTGATAAACCCGTTGCCCTAGCACCGCCATTGCCATGGCAGTGAACCTGCCCCTGATCGTGAGATAGTCATCACTTCATTAATCCAGAGCAGAAACTCCACGTCTCTAAGAATATTCCATCTTCGTCGATGCGGAGATATCCCCGATCACTGGGTCTGGCACTGAGCTTGGCCATCGCCCATATCGTCCTCGTCGTCCTCCCAGTCGCCACCGAATCGGCCATCACCCGAGTTCTCACCCATCTGTTACCGAATTAGCTACTGGCTTCAAACGCAGTCACGATGAAATATGCTTACCTTCTCGATGTCAGCATCGTCCTCATACTCGACTTCGTCGACTTCCTCGGCTTCAATGTTCGCAGGGGGAGGGGGCAGCATTTTTTGCAGTGTCTCATACTCCGATTCGCTCTTCAACCAGCCATCCTCAGGGAACTCCACCTTGACAATCAAGTAGAGGTCACCCTTGGTCTCGCCACGCTTCATAGGCATGCCCTCGCCGGGAACCTTGAGGCAGTCACCTGGTCGTAGGATCTTGCCTTGAGGCCGCTCGATGTGAATGCCACGTCCATCGAGATGCTTGAATACTGTTCGTGAGAATCCTGATAGAGCCTCTCCAAGAGATACAGTTAGTTCAGCAGACAGATCATGTCCAATGCGAGTGAAGACATCATGGGGTTCTTCCACAAGTGTGAAGACAATATCGCCAGGCGTTTGGTCCGGATACTGGTCGGCTTCACCCTCCAGGACGATACGCTCGCCCTGCATCGAGCCTCTGGGGATGTAAATCTCGAGAACCTTCTTCTCCTGTGTTGTTCGCTTGCCCTTGCACTTCTTGCACCGGTCCTTCTCTTTGAAGACCTGGCCAGCACCCTGGCAGTGATCGCAAATAACGGTCTCACGGCGCATCATACCAGGCCCTATCTGGCGGAAGGCCTCAACGATACCATTACCCTTGCAGCGCTCGCAGGAAGAAGACTTGGACTTCTCTTTGCCGCCGGAGCCCTTGCACTGGCCACAAAGTACCTGCTTGTTGGCAGCAAACTTGACAGTCTTACCACGGTAAAGCTCCTCGAGCGTCACTTTGTACTCTTGCTCCTCATCAGGACCACGTCTGGGTCGGCGAGCGCCGCCGGGACCTCCAGGGCCACCAGGGCCTCCGGGACCCATGCCAAAGCCAAACATTTGGGAGAGGATATCGTTGAGGTCGACCTCAGGGCCACCGGGGCCGCCTCGGGACTTGTCGAAGGCGGCCATTCCGTGGACATCGTAGAGCTCGCGCTTCTGCTCATCGCTGAGAATTTCGTAGGCGTGCGTGACTTCCTTGAACTTGGCTTCGGATTCTTCTCGATGCTCTTCAGCGACCTTGTCTGGGTGGTACTTTAGGGCGGCCTATTTCGAATCTGTAAGAAAGTGCTGTACGATGTGTGTGTATAACCGCGACCACATACCTTGCGATAAGCCTTCTTGATCTGATCAGGTGTGGCAGTTCTGTCGATCTCGAGAAGTTCTAGCAGTCGAGTTAGCCAGGCAGGCCTTGCTTATCAACCACCACAAAATTGGCTATAACGAACGAGTGGCTGGAATAATAAACTTGTCTTTCTAGACGTACCATAGAGATCGACTTCCTCAGCGCCAGGAGCGCCTGCGTTGAAAGGGTTCCCGTCCATCTTGAAGATCGGAGATGAAGCAAGGTTAGTAGGTACAGCAAAATAGGCTACAGTACTTTTGGCGTACTGTAATGCAGGATGAAGAATTGGTCCGCTCCGTCGATCAACTCTGTTGGCTGAGTGCAAGCAGCAGGGGCCCGTAGAAAATCTTTTGGCGCGGATTTGGAGCGCGGGGTACGTAAGGGAAAGAAGAAAAGAGAAAAGGTCGAATACCCTTAAGTCAAACAGTATAAATCAAGGGAGTCTTCCTCGATAATGCACTGTCGACTTGACGTTTTCTAATATTGTGACTCTGTAATCTACAACAAGAAATTAAAATGCAGAATCCGTTCTTATCATACAAAGTTGTCTCAATGTTTGCACTTGACTTTGCCTGCGTCATGTTCGTTGACGCCTGGCATTCCAATTTTGATAGCAAATCCAACTCTGTTTGCTTGTTACAAGTAAAATTAGCTCCGACAGGACCGATAAAGGCCTTTATAGTCTGTATCATATCCAGTTCTGAATTTATTACATCTTGGATATACATCGAACAAACAGTTTTTATGTCTCTCAAAATCTGCCCCTCCATTGTTTAACGACGCGATTCAAACTTCAGGGTCTCATGTCCACTGATAAGAAATTTTGACTCTTATCGCAGGCGACGATTTCCGTGAGACGACACAGGCCGCCATAGTGTGGCGCACTGCACTGACTCGCCATGCACCGCCACAATTTCACAATCTCATGAGACTGGTTTACTCACTCACACTCGTTTATTAGCTTGTCATGAGAGGCACATTTTCAATATGAGGCCCTTGTTAAGCCACCGAACGAGGCTTTCAAGAAACCTTATACAATATCGGGTTTTATATCATCCAATACCTCTTCTTACTCGTCGCAACTTCACAAGCTCTGTTGCTCGTCAACATGATCAAAATTCTGATATAGCGAAGAAGGCTTCTCAAAGTCCTTCAGAAGAACTCAATGAACAAGGAGGAAAACATGATCGATCCATTAAGAAGCCATCAAGACTGGCGGCTTTAAAGAAGCGTGACCAGAAGGTTGGGGGTAAGGATGCCAAGGTCAAAGGGGGAGAACCAAATCAGCGATATATCCTTGGACAATCAGCCGACAAGCCAATCCGTACACGTTTTGCGCCGTCGCCTACCGGATATCTGCACCTTGGCTCTTTGAGAACTGCGTTGTTCAATAATTTGGTGGCCAAGGCTACAGACGGCGGTGATTTCATTATTAGAATTGAGGATACTGATCAAGTAAGTCTTTAGTGTGTAAGACTTCGGTTTGCAGCCACTCATGCTAATTATCCAAGAATCGGTTGGTGCCTGATGCTGAAGAAAGAATCTTCAAAGACCTCGAATGGGCCGGTCTTGAATGGAGTGAAGGTCCTGACAAAGGAGGTCCATATGGCCCCTATCGACAAGTAAGCTCCTCTTGACTTTGTCACCCTCACCTTGTACTGATCCAGTAAGTAGTCAGAACGTCTGGAGACCTATAAAGAACACACGCAGACCTTGCTCGAAAATGGCTCTGCCTATCGTTGCTTCTGTGATCAAACAGTCCTCGAAGCCCAGAAGCGAGCTCTCCACGAAGCTGGCAAGTCTACGGCTTACCCTGGCACATGTCGTACTCTGCCGCGCTCTGAGTCTGATGAGCGAGCCGCCAAGGGTGAAGCTCATATCGTTCGGCTTGACTCTACTCGGTTCGGCACGCCAAAGTTCAAGGATGCTATCTACGGGCCTTTCCAGAAGAAAGAGCCCGAGGAGGACTTTGTTCTCATGAAAAGAGATGGATATCCAACGTACCATCTTGCCAATGTAGTTGATGACCATTTGATGAAGATTACACATGTCATCCGTGGTGAAGTAAGTATTCTCATGGATTGAAATTCTGCGATATTTACTTACATCTGCATAGGAATGGCTCATCTCAACACCCAAGCACCTGGCCCTCTATGAAGCTTTCGGCTGGGAGCCCCCGACCTTTGCTCACCTGGGCCTTCTCGTTAGCAACAACGGATCCAAGCTTAGCAAGCGCGATAGCAGCGTCGACCTGTCTACGTATATGGACCAGAACGTCTTTCCTATGGCTTTACAGGCGTGGCTTGCCAACCTAGGTGCATCTACGAAGAGAGATGCGAAGACACCGAGAACCCTCAGTGATGTCGCCGAGAATGTAAGTTGTTTCTGAAAGCTGCTGTAGTCTGCCAGTACTGCATGGCAAGTGTGCTAACTCTGGATCAGTTGACTTACAAGTTCACCCGAGGTGGTATCAAACTCAATCCAACCAAGCTCGACTTCTTCCAGCACGAGTATCGAAATCTCCTTACGAAGACACCTTCTACCGACCACACATCTCGTGAGCAGGAGCTCATAAGAGATTACCTTGTGACTCCCCTCGTCAACGAAGTTCATGCCATCACCGCCTCCTCCCAGTCCATTTCTGATGACTACAAGCCCATCCAACCCACAGGCACGGCTCTCAACTGGCCCACCCCCTTATCTCCTGTTCCAGCCATGCTTTCGTCGGAATCTTCTCAGTCATATACTTCCAAGATCATCTTTCAAGAAACTGTACGATATGCTTCTGTGGCTAACTTGGCCCGTTTGCTACCGTACTTCTTCTGGCGTCCTCCTCCTGATATTTATCGAGCAGCCCTCGTCAGTGAGACTCCGCGTCTCGACTTGGTTGAATTGGTCAACAAGACCGTGCAAGGAAATGATGACTGGGAGACGACCGTTGACCGCTTATTTGAGAGTATCCCTTCCGACCAGGCTCCCGACTTACATGCTATTCTTCGCCTAATTGCGATTGGTGATTCACAGGCTGTGAGCAAGTCGTCCCGCATTCTGTTCGATGTGCTGGGTCAAGATGAGTGGCGATTCCGTGCCAATCTCGTGGCTTCTTTGCTTGGTGAACTGGAATCTAGCGGACAACTCCCCGTCAGGACTGTATAGAGAGTAGAAATTCGGCAAAGATATGAAAAGTCATCTAGTTTATTGGTTGTCCACGGTATTGAGCATCGAGGTCAGGGCTTTGGATAAAATTGGAGATGTGTTGTATGAGTAGCTGTAAAATTATGCGCAAATTCAAGGACAGGCATGGCTGGGGTAGATACTACCAACCCCTATTCACGATCAATCAACTTGCTTCACGATGGACTATCAAATGTGTTGTTGTCATAATGTCATGATTGAGGTTAACCGCGAACCCTTGGGTCTCGCCCTGTTCTTTTCTCTGATTCCCCCCGTATGAGTGATTAGATAGGTAGAAATAAAATACCCCGGACTCCGGCTGCCTGCCTGCCATCTAACTTAGAACCCTTAATATGCTAGACTATTTTGACATGTTTCGAAAAGTACAAGATTAAGATAATGGTAAAAATCCAAGAACAGAAAAGGGTCTTTTCTGGAGATTTCTTGGTCAACTCACAAGCCACTGCTTCGTGATAGATAGAAATTCGTAAATATCCAAAATGCAAATGCGCGCTGTCAGGGTATATGTCTAAAGTTGAAAGATCCAAATCTGCAATTATGTTAGCGATGGGTTCAGAACCATAAGAAAGGGAATATCCACATACCTCCATCTTGCCAGTCTCTGCTCGTTGTTTCTTTGCTTCCTCCTTGACACTATCAATCACCATCTCCAGGTCATCCTGGTCGCCAACTGTAATCATGTCCCCATTGGGCACGTCTTCGTCCTTAACCTTAATCTTAAATCGTCGCCTAATATTAAACTTATCGCGAACCTTGTCGGCTAGCGTTTCGTATTTGATATCAGGAGCGATCATGATGAGTTTGACTTCATCAGCGTGGACCTTGACACGGATCTTTGTGATCTCTGGTCGTCGACTACCACGTTGACCTGAAACAGAGCCTGGACCTCGGCGTTGACCGATCATCTCGAAGTCGTTCTCGTTGATGGTGCCCTCATAATCTGATCCGTCTTCCTCTTCAGAATACTGTGGTTGTCTTTGGCGTCGACTGCCGATAGACCCCCTCGAGTTTCGGTAAGGATCGCCTCCCTGGTACATAGCGTAGACATCCTCTGGTGACCCTGTCTCCTCTGGGATCTGCCGGGGTCTTAATTGGAGAGGCTGAGGCTCCCTCTGCATCATTCTAGAACTGGCAGCAGACGCTGATCTTGCGGGCATGGGCCGAGAACGGCTATCTGGTGGAGAAGTTGCCTTCTCATACCGGCGGTTTGGCTCGGCCTGCTGTATGTTGAGTTTAGCCAACTGAGGCTTCCCACCGCGAACAGAAGCAGCACGAGATGGGCGCTCGTTCTCGGGTGGGGGTGTTGGCGGAAATACATTTCGGTTGTTCGGAGGTTCTGATTGTTGCCTCCGAGACGAAAGACCAGGCTTGACGAGATTTGTAGCGGCGAAGGAAATGTTGTCGGCAGGCCGGTCATCTTTGACCTCTAGCTTACCAGCCTAAATGCTGTTAGTCAAGGAAACTTCAGCATAGAAATTTTGAGAACCACTTACGTTCTTGATTTCAGAACCTGCAAATCCAGTGAAGGCATTGGCACGGTCTGAAGCTGCCACAAGTCTGGCTTTGCCAAGATAATCTTTTGTCTTTAGGTTTCGAACTTTGGCTTCGTTGGGTCTGTAGACAACTCCGACAGGAATTGAAAAGACAGTATAACCCTAATCAAGTTAGATGAGCAGTCAGGGTAAATGCTGTGGGATCACAAACCTCCGCCTGTTCTCTAATAGCATCATCAATAACATTGTGATCTTCCACCACCTTCTCCTTCACAGCATAGGAGAAATCCTGCATACCAGCCTCCATCTGCTGCAAGTAGATGTAGCAAAGACCTCGGTTGAAAAGCACCTCGCAGGAGTAGAGTTTGAATAGAAGACCGAGCTGAGCGTAATCGATCATAGCATTGCCACGGAGGTAAAGGAGTGTGTCGTTGAAGTTGGCGAGGGCTTCTTCAAAGTCGCCGAGGAGGAAATTCGAGACGCCTTGCTGGAAGTAGGCAACGGCGAGGTACTGATCAAGTCGAATGGCTCGTTGGTAGCTCTCAACCTAGGTAAGGAATTAGTATTGTTAAATTGTATAGTCTGCAAAGGTTTGCATACAGCTTTCTCATGCTCGCCGAGTGTGGCATGGATCACGCCCATGTTGAAGAGGATCTTGCTGGTGTCGCCAATTTTTCCAAACTCGTTGAGGGCCTCTTCGAATTCATTGTTATCGTAGCGGCCCAGGGCTGCAACCCAGGTCTCGATTTCCTGTAGAGAGGAATTGTGTTAGTGGACTGATCAGGAAGACATGACAGTAGAGGAGTATGCGAACCTGTTTCAACGACATGATTGTCGTTGCAGGGCAAAGTACCACGGCAGATTCGAATTTAGAATGATAGGTAGATATGTATGTAAGAACGGTATGATCGGGAATAGAAAACAGTATAGGGGGATATTCTTGGTAAATAGCAGAAATTCGAGAGTCAAGGGAGAGTTGAGGGGCTCAGAATGGGCGCTTAATGTATGAGGGCTGTCCCAACTTATTATTCGGCGGGCAGCACCTGTGACCAGAGGTAAGGAAGGTGCCCGTGGTGCGGTCGGGTCGAATGGCGGCGGGGGGGCAGGTACGCTAGGCACGGTACGGGGGTACAGGGGTATGCCAAGTACGGGCCTGGCGGACACCTCACTGAAGCTAGGGAACAGGGGGTTGGCTTTGCAGGGATAGTCCGGTGCTGGAGTGCGAAGGGAGCCTGAAGCAAGCAATTGGCGCACTGCAAGTCTCGATGTCTTGGCGGCCGAGCCAGTGGCGCTACCTCGAGAGAGAAAGAGGAAAGTCAAGAAGTGCTTGGAGACTAGACGATGAGGGGATTGGTTTGTTTTGCGATGTAGATAATCGATGGGAGATTAAGTTGGATCGTATGTCGGACTCTGTCTGCTCTTGGGAATGTTCTTTTTATAGCTTCAAGCGTTGTTGGTTGCTGAGGTTGGTTGAGAAGTGGTTGAGAAGTGGTTGAAAGGCCGAGAGTTGAGTGTTGGACTTGACTCGAGACCTAAGCGCGTATAGAACAAGCTATTGTACGAACGGGGTATTGTATGCAATAGCTATCACGATACAACAAAAAGAAGACAATTGAGATACTGATCGGCGAACGACAAATCGAGAGGCCGAGTTGTCATTATTATATCCAGCTTGAGAGAATAGGCCAAGAAATCGTCCATGTAAGTGGCATGTTTCCCTCCGGCTCAGCTGCAATGGATGCAAACACACGGCATGGAATCAAAACTTTTGCGAGGAACAAAACTGCCAATTTCATGGCCTATTTCTAGATCGAACAAGAGATTATTGCGAGCCAAGAGTCAATGGCGTGGTGATGGGAGTGATTGATTGCAGCAGTGCTTGAGATGACATACGGCACAACAACCGATGAGTGGCTGGTGCAACTAGGCCCAGCGCCTAGAGACGATGGGAATTGGTTCTATGATGGTTGTCACACGGCCTACGCGGGACCTGACTCTCTACAACCACACTCTGCAGTCTCTGTCATGGATGGAAGGGGAGGCAAGAAAAGTTGGGACCTTTATCCTAAGTGATAAAAAGACTTGGGCAAGTTTAGGGTATATTTCAGTAGAGCTTTAGACCAGTTTATTCTAGCACCCTGTTTTAACATCACAAGTTTTATTTCACCCCGAGGACTGCGCAGCGGCGGGCCAGGGGGATGTGCAACAAGGGTTCGCACGTTTTTCTTCTCCTCTTGCCTCTGCTATAGCAATGTTTCCGACTGCATCTGAGATCTGAAATGTATTACTTCTCTCGGTGTATGTGCAACGTCTGATCGACCGCTAGCCACATGTAAGAGGTTTGCCAACACTCTTACCGGGCCGGGTTTGAGCTGGGAACCTAAAATCCCCATCTTGTTTCTCTTCTCCACTGGCATAACTAATGGATACATATCGGGAGATTTGAAAAAGAAAAGTTGACTGTTTGACGGTGTAGACTAGGAGACTGAATGCATAACCATCACCTGTGATGTGATGAACTAGTTAGATGTGATGTCTTTTCCTTTCCTCACATAGATGAGAGCTAAATCGGTATATCCTACCCTCATGAAACTAGCTGCCATGCTAGATCGAACCACTGCATTCAGCAGCGTCGTCAGATGCCTCAAAGTAATCGAAAGGTTGTATGCGAACTGTGATGAAAGATTTGGGGTTGCCAGGGTTTGCTTAGACAACGGGGTCACTTTATGCACCTGCTGCAGCGACTGTCACAGGTGCTGGTCACTCTCAGGCGCATCTTCTCATTGGTCAATATACCAGGATCTTGCCTGTATGGTCCACCCCTCGGCGCCTACCTACTCCAATTCTCCCCTCTCTTTCACGATGGGAATCTTCAGTCTACGTCTACCTAACTTGCATTGCAATGCCAACAAGTCAGACCCTGGTCGACCGCCGTGGCTGATGGGATGGGATGGGTTTATGCGTCCAAGCTGCTGGTGTCGAATGACGTGCGTTCCATCCTCTCGATCAATCCTAATCTGGGTTTAAGCGCCCTGATGTGGGCAGTTTAGAGTGATGGACCCTGCAGCATAGGCCCAAAGGAATGGAACATACATACAGCAGACTAACATAACTTATTACTAGACTCGATCGTGACGTTTTGTTCTATTCAGGCTTCGGTCCCGAAGGCACGGGATCGAAATGAGCTTTGCAAGTGGTACTAACCTGCCCCCAGCCCAAGCTGCCAAGATGTGAGGACCAGTGGATCTACGGTGAGTGAAAACGACAGTCGTTGTACGGATACTCTCGTTAGCAAAGAGCCGAGATCCAACCCGGGCGGTTACCAGGGAGAGACTTTCAAGCGATCTTGGCAAACGGAGTTTAGGAAGAAACCGGCACCAACAGGAACAACTTTCATGACTTGAACCAAACGACAGATGATGATGTTTGCTCTCGTGATTTTTTACAACATCTTCATCTTGGAGAATTCCTAGCCTATCCCTTGCTTCCATTGCCGCCAGCCTCGACGCTAATGCGCCCACTCAACACGCATCTAGCTGTATGTGTACGATATAGTACCGAGTATCCATAGCGTACCACCAGTCCGGGCTCTTCATCCAGTCTCTCAAGCCTGACTGTGTTGGGAGTTTTCCTCCTGACATTCTGACCCCGTATGGCCTCCTTACCGGGCCAACAACTATATAGATGTACTCCCTTTCTGCGGGAGGCCTTACGACGACTGCGGCAGTGCATGTTGCATTGAACCTTTCGGCATATGGTGATCCGGAGCCCCATGGAGCCAAGCCAGGGGTGCCAGTTGGTTACAGCCCGAGACCCGGGGACGTAGCAGAAAGTTTCTAGACGTCATGACGTTCAGGCACGAGATATCTGAGACAATCTCACACCGGAAACTATTTGATGAGCTTAAAATCGATAGTATACTTCAGGCACATTCACATATATTCAGTCTTTGAGATATCTACTTGATACAAAAAAAAACATAATAAAGTTAAGGTCTGTTGGAATCGCTTAACAAGCGAGTCAATGTATTGGTTAATCTGAATAAAAGAGCCAGCATTCGTCCAGAAATTTCAGATACACACACATTGTTAGCATGGAAATGGTTCATGTTGAATAATCATATCTCGACCTGTCTACCTATTTGTCTGTCTCACAGTACGAGCGGGTTCAACGGCAACAGTCGATCATGTACCAGTACCCATCAAGGTTAGTTGGTATTGTATCTAAGTTCCAGATTCAACTTTGAACAGTTTCTTGTTCCTTCATCTCGCCCTGTTTCTCATCGTACATCAGATCTTGAGTTTATCTACTATCCTGATGCGAAGGTTTGAGCTAACCCTCAGCCTTGTATTTCCTCCCGTCTCTCTCATACACACGAACAGGTATCGTCCCTGTCCCTTCGTCTCATCCTTCACTCACCTGAATATTCTTTTCTCTTTAAAGGCATCGAAACAGTCGATCTACTCCGAAGCTCACCTTGGCACCGCTAGCCTATCGCGACTGACGTCAAGGTAGAGATGCCAGTGGAACATGTTACAGCTGTCACTTACACCATTGTCTCGCATAATTCTGTGGCTGATCTCCGGGGTTTCATCTTCATCCCAGCAAGGTCTTGCTGCCAATGCATTGAAGCCTTGAATCTCAGATTCTACTTGCCGTCTATGCCTTAGTCTCAAACTTCCATCAGCCGTTTACCAGCTTTTATCACGAGGATGTGTAACCGTAGAAAATAGTTCCGAATTCCTTCAAAGAGAACGACTACGAGAATCAGTTTTTCCGTGAGGCACAGCTAAATACGAGGGACATTGCCTCTTTGGAATGATATCGAACCATGATCATGGAAAAGACCCATGTTCGATCTTGTCCCCAGGTCAGATATCGCACCACATCTCGCCGCAGCACCGTCGATGCGTTACAGATCTTCCACTTGTCACTCTTCAACCCAACTTTGCATGGGCTTTGTTTCAAGTTTGCGGAGAAACAGTTGAAGGGACGACAAGCCTTCAACAAAGGGTGTGCATCATGCCATAAATCAGAAATAATACTCTTCTTGGCACTGTCCAGCGTTAATGTTCAGGCTTGGTTGCCGACTCGGATTTGGTAGATGCCTCGTTATCATAGCATTCCCTTCTGAACCTCATCCTTTCGTTCCTCCCAGAGCGTCTTGCCTGTGCATGAGCACACCGTCTTATCGTTATCCCACATACCAGCGCTTCGTGCGATAATGCCGACGACAGTGTCCTTATCGTTCTTCAGTGGTTCGTCCTTCTCTTCCTGCCTTGTTAGAACCATGGCGTGTCCAATAACCTCCCAGATTTGGAAACCATGGTCTATGAAGGCTGCGCCCCGTCCATCTTCACCGACCTCAACAGTACCAAGGTCACCCCGAGGCTTCTTATCTTCTCCTGTCCAGACAGGGCCCGTTGACGTCGCACCGTTCTTCAAGTCGCCGTATGCGCGGATTGAAGCTTTGTAAGTTCCGGGAGAAACGCCGCGGATAGTCAAGTCAACCAATGTCCGTCCTGAACTAACTTGTACCATTCTTGCTAACCCCCTTACATCTCTGCTAGGCTCTTCGTAGAAGCCATCCACAGGATCTTCAAATGTTTCGAGAATACTCACAGCGGCGCCTATCAGATTTCAAGGTCAGTGATCCGTCGTGCCAAGTTGTAGAGCCGGCAGTCCCATGACAGTGTGATTGTATCACAGGAGGGTGAGTAACTACTCTGCACATACTGTTTGAGGCCCCCGTTCCACGCAAGATGGCATCTCTTCCGGTGGCTTGGATAGCTTCTACGATAGCTGATGGGGGAGCTGGAAGTTCGGCACCGTTAGCTTGTACGCGAATCGGTGACTTAGCTCGCCTTACCGGTGCCCTTGACAGAAATCAACTGGTCCTTCAAGTTGCCTTCCACATTACTGATACCGCCGAGCTTGTACAGAGAGTCTGAAACCGCCTTGACACAACTGTCACATGACAGCGGAACAGCAAAGAGGGTCTGTTTTCAAGACGTTTCATTAGTTCCTGAATACTGGGAAAAGATCTCAACAACTCTCCTCGTCCCCTTTTCTCAGCCATGACTCATAGCTCAGAATTTTGTGCGCACCTCAAACGAGTTATCGGCCGTCATCTTGTTAGATGCTGCGTTGATCCGTTAGTTTCATACTTGCAGTGTAAGAGAATCGCATAGAAGTTGGAGAACTAACAAGTGGGGGGCGTGGTGTTAGAGCTGATACGTGAGATTCGATATCGGTATGCTGAATAGCCAGCTATTGTAAAGAGAGAAGCAGTTGTAAATACTCTTGCAGGTGTAAACTTGAGAGGCATTTGCTTAGAAAACAAGGTTGTAGCACGACGTGGGCGGCTTTTGTTCGCTGAGGTGCTTTGAAATCCACAATCGAGTGATAACTAACATCGGGCTCCGGCCGTTGTCGCACAACTTCCGCACCCCGGAAGTGGGTTCAGCCAGTGGCTTCGGGATTTAAGATGTTGGCACGTGACTGTTCATCATCCTGACTCAGCAATTAATCCTTGGCATCCGGATCTAAACTTTCTGGTTGAGCGTTTCGGTGTTGGTAGATCTCGCGATACAGCAAAACGAGGCTACACGACGATTTGACCCCTCCTTCGCCAGTTTTGCGGCTGATCATACCAATTGGAGGTGCATTGTGAGAGATTGATCTCTCAAAGCCTCCAACATGTCGCAAGTCCTCGGTCTGGTGAGCTGATAAGATGAACGTCCTCAAATCTTTCTCTTGTCTAACCAATATCAAATAGACCAAACTGGCCTACTCTCGAGTATGGCACGGTGTCTCTGCCTCCGCTCCTCATGCCACACTCTCTACTCAGCCCGGCGTTACACCACCTTCACTCGGCCGTCTCGCATCTCGCATCGCCGTTCTTCTCATGGGCAAGCACAAACCGATTTTCGACCCCTCAACCGACTGCGGTGACTACGTTGTCGTGACCAACTGCGCCGCTCTTCACACAACCGGCCGCAAGAAGTGGCAAAAGCCTTACTACCGACATACGACACGACCTGGTAGCCTCAAGACCGTAACAATGGACGCACTTATGGAGGCGCACGGAGGCAGTGAGGTCCTGCGCAAGGCTGTGCGTGGCATGTTGCCCAAGAACCGACTACGAGACAAGCGTTTGGCAAGACTTAAGGCGTTTGAGGGCGACGCTCATCCGTACAAGGATAACTTGATACGGTTTGCTGGTGTGCCAGTGGGAGCTGAGGGTTGGGAGAAGGCCACCGAAAGGGTCCGAAATGGCGATAAGAAGCGATTATAAGAAATTACGGGAGTTGCCATGGGGCGAGGGGGCTGTGCAGTAGAATCTACGGAGTATGCGGATGGGCTATGAGAGTCCTTGTACTATTTGTACCAATATCTTGGGCATATTATGACCTAGCACCAAGCAATTTTCAACGTTTTTCATGATATGAAGTGTCCGGTGTGCATTTCATCTGCTGTACAAAGACACTGGGTCTGATATATGTTCTCCCGGTGATATTCACCTTGATTATGCCCCTAAAGCTCACACATTGTCGCCAATCCTTAAGAAGGCATAAGTAAGGCAATACAACAATACAGGCCTCAACACATTACGATCAGAACAGGCAGAAAGGTGGCAAAATTAACGTAATTACTCAAAACATATCTAGTGCTAGAATCTAAGTTCATCGCTTGGTATCAATCTTTATCCTGGGTTCATTATAACGTTCCATCTTGACATCTATCGCCGCAGAATACAACCATTCTCAACGCCCCTTATAGCTTTGATTGCAAGTTGTCGCGAGACACCTCGCACTTGATAAGACCATTGGGGCCAGACTGAGGCGCGTAAACCTCAGCATCCTTGCCTGTGTTCTTGAGTCCCTTGTGCCAGCTCAGGTCTAGATAAGAAGTTAGTATCAATAGTGGACTCGGGGAAGTGCCTCCAGACTTACCAATCTCGAAGTAATGCTTGTTAGGCAGTGCGTAAGTGACTGTCGCAATCTCGGGCACAAGTCCAAGGATCTGGGTGGACATCTTGTACATGGTGGCTTGCACGCTAGCACTGTTGTCCTCAGCGAAGACCTTGAGGGTGATGTTGCGTGCTGCCTCTCGAGCACTGTCGAATTTGGGAGCAAAGGCCTTGACAGCGTTCAGTGTGTCAAACTTCTTCCACTTCCATGTAGCATCAACATCGGTTGAGAAGATGCGATCCCAAGTCTCAGGAAGAGTTGTGTACTCATCGCGGACGAAGCCGTGGAAAGCAGAACCAGTGCTCTTGAGCACAGTCAAGCCAACAAGAGAGCTCTTGATCTGGATGCCCTCCTGTCGGCTCACGCGAACTTCCACATTTCGGGTCTCCTCACCATCCTTGAAAAAGCTGTGAGGGTGAGGCTTGCCGTCAACCTCCAGACGCTGCCAGCGAACAGTCTTGACGTTGATGTTGGCAACGTGGATGTGGCTGTACTTCTCGATGAAGTGGCTGCCGAGGATAGAGGCGTACAACTCAGGAGGGTTGACAGGATTCTGCTTGGCGGTGATGTAGATAGTGTTCTTGATAGAGTCGGTGGCAACGACAACACTGTTATCGGCCTTGGTGTAGGAGGTCTCAATCTCCCCCTCAAGAAGACAGCAGACAGTCATCTCAGTGACGGTCTGGATGCCAGTAGAGGCATCGCGATCAACCTTGCAGACGCGGACATTGTCCTTGCCATAGCGAGCAGCAGATACGTAAGGCATTGTGATATGCTTGTTGTGTGATAAGTCTGAAGACGTGTATAGATATTGATACCGGATATGATACCGGATAAGACCAGATAAGGTTTCAGGTTCAGTATATTGCGACAAGAGATGAGCGATGGTAATGTTCCCAAGAGTCAAGATTAAGCACGGTATGATTTGAGAAAGAGGAAAGGGGAGGGATAGGCTTTTAAATATAGATTAGCAAGTATGCAGAATGGTTGGGATCCAATGTCAGCCCCCCTTCCCAGCGATAATGACGGCTCCGGCTAAGGTGATTAGAGACAAAGCAACCAAACAACGCTACTCCAAGCGGCTCAACGGACGGAGACGGACGTTGGCGATCAGAAAACAAGCGCCTATGGCCGAACAATTCAATGTCCGATATTGCAATTCCTGGTGAATTGAAGCTTTTCCATGGGGCGATGGGGGTCGGTGCCGGGCCCCGGAGGACGCCGATGCCCTCGATCCCGTATATCGGGGCCCGCCTGGAGCCATCGGAGCTCTTATCTCGACTTGTCTATCTTATCTTATAATGCGACTCAACATCGCATGATTCCTGCGATACGGAGACAATTTGAGTTCTGGTGGCAGAAAAGATGAGGTACAAGATCATGCGGGAGAAGTACCAGTCAGGTTCTGGTGTTTATGGTCAAGGCAATCCTCATGCCCTCTGTTCTGATGAGCTTGGACTGTTACAAAACCCCGGCATGCAGTCTGTAGGGTATCTTTCACATTTTTGTTGATAGCCTCACGCAGCACCAATATATTTGGGAGAATGGGTTCTCAATTTGTGTGTACCAGCATGTGAATCTGGTCAAGAATGCAGGTGGTGAAATCATTATTGCCCAAGCTTGAAATGCTCTGGTGAGGTGGAAGCTCTATGTTTATGAGGACGAAGGCATAGTTACAACGGCAATCAGCTGCCTTGCGCCAAACAGGTTGATCGCAATATATCTTCAATTGCTATTAACCCTGACTCTCAAACTCGGTTACTCGGCTCCTCAGCAGTTCAGCTCCTCAGCTTCATGGATGCTCTCGTAACTCCATCGTAACCCCGGAATAAAACACTTTAAGCTCAGAGCATCTAACCTACAGCACGCTACTGTGCCAGACGGAGCTTTGCCAAAACTCTCTAGTGAAGCCGCCCGCAAACTGTACCCAAGGCTGCAGCACAGTTTACAGAGCACAAGGTTGACTTTAGTGCCCGGGCAGGTCTGTAAATGGAATGCATCACCATCTGGCTGGGTCTTGTCTGCCTCCACTTTAGGCCCTGGTTGCCCGCAAGCCAACAACCTCTGTTCTGGATCCTCCAATCACCTGCCCTCTCGTCTCTCGAAACCCTGCCTGACTGGTCCTTGAACCTCGCTCGTTTTGCTCTGATATTGGCCTAGATCTGCTACGTAAGGTCAGGTTCTGTACGGTATCAATCTGGTTATTGCTTCTGTTGGTAAACTGGACATTCAACCCCGTATCGTGGCTACATCATTTGCTTGCTTTCGCACCCACCGTCGCCTTGGAATCCACGCAAGCTGCCTTCAGCATCTTCGGCGACAACTCCGCTCTCTTGAAACTCCAGATTGACTCAGTTTCACTGTCCAGATAGACTACGGCTTCACTGACAGCGCCATCGCCGAAAACGCGGTCCGAGTTATACATACTTGTACGACACACCATCACGATCGCTCGAAGTATTGGATCTAGACAATCACTTTATCTGCCATTTTGCGAACGAATATACGCCTATCAATCGAAGTCACTGTAACGCATACGAACCTTGACCGCGATCGCATCCTCCGTACTCGTCACCTCAGTCGCCCGTTGATCAACGAATGCTCTTCCACCACCTTTGGGCCCAGTCCCAATCGGTGGGCTGTTTGCCGCTGATATGCTGAGCTCTTCTGCAGCAGCTCAGAAGGGCATGACCCCTCCGAGCCAACCTTCACAGCACAACCTGCCTCAGCAGTTATCCGGCCGCACGAGCTTCGACCGAGGCGATTCGGGTCTACAACCTCCCAATGGCGCCAACGCCCGAAATCTCTCGGCTTCGGCCGTATCTTTTGCGCCAAGGGGAAGCAGTCTCAATGTTGCTCCCGGCAGCTTCAGTTCAGAGTTGCGTAGTCGGGCTGGAAGTAAGACTGAAGCGGGGTCAATATACCCAAGCAGCTTCATGGACAAGGTGGAAGAGGATGACGCAGACACGCTAGCTGAGCAAGCTCTGACACATCTGAAAGAAAGACTCAACCGTGAGATGAAGATTAAGGAGGGGAGTGAGAACATGCTCGAGGCGCTGAACTCTAAGAAAGCGAAGCAGACCAAAGAGCAACGACAAAAGGTTGAGGCGGAGCTTAACGCTAGCAATTCGCGTATCAAGGACTTGCGCCAGAAGATTTCAGATGCTCAGCATACACGACAGATTCCACCTGCAACGCCAAAACGAAACCGTACCCAGAGCAACGTTATCGAATCCGGGAGACCAATTGGACTGCGTTCGCCACAGAGCGTGTCACGATCTGTCGTAGAATCTGACAATGAGGAACCGACAGAGAGCCCAACATTTGCGCTTGCGGAACTGCTCCAGGCCTTAGAGGTTGAGGGCATGATGCCGGAGTACTACGTCTCACGGGGGAACCAGCTCGTCGATCTCTTCAAGCGTTACCCAACTCTTAAGTACGACTTGGTTTGGTCAATCTTTGGGCTCCGCATGCAGGTAATGCTCCTAAGCGAGAGTCGCGAAGTCGTGGCTGCTGGCTATCGAATGACCAGATATGCTATTTCAGATGTGGCATCACTTAAGAAGATCCGAAGCCTGAACACGGATTATCTGGTGATACGGTATGTCCTTCGACTGTGGCCGCGCCCTTTTTACTGACATGATCAGATCACTCAACAACTACCGCAAAGCGGATGTTGAACGCGAGCAGGCCCTCAAGTTCGTCCGTGCATTTCTTGATGTCAAAGGCGGAGTGAAAGAGATTTCTCGAGCCGTGGTGCGCACGATAGTTGCAGTTGCAGAGCATGGAGAAGACCGACGAGCAAATGCACAGCCGGCTGAGGGAGACTTGGACCGTTTAAGGCCTATCTGCATCGAGACTTTAGCAGAAATCATAGTGCAAGATCCAGCACTTTTGGTGGCCTCTGGCGGCTTGGGACCATTGACGGAGGCCCTTTCAGAAGGCATCTACAAATCCCCCGAGAGTTTGACCTCTGCGTTTTTATACCTGCTCGACTCACCTCGAAAGCGGAAATACATACAGCCAGGATATGGTCTGGAAGTGCTATTTACTGTCTTTACCGACCATCTCCTGACCAACGAAAGTATCATGAAACAGAACTCCAAGGCTATTGCAACAGCTTTGAAGTCATGGCCAGGGCTCATGACTCTCTGCATGTATGATCTCCGAACAATTCGATCCTTGATCACGAGCATGCTATTGCCGAGTGATGTGGTTCGGGAGACTATTCTTGATCTTATATTCTCACTTCTACGGATCAAGCCACCAGCGTGGGCAACTTCTTTTCTTGCTGGAAGGAGATTGACAACGTACGGCCGAGTTGCGAACCTGAAGTCGAACCAAAAGGACAAGAGCCACTTACAGTTCACAGAAGAAGACAGCGGTGAACAAAATTTCGTAGAGCACTACACAGCCCTGTTGCTGGCAGTGCTCATTCGAGCAGGCCTCTTACCAGTACTCCTGAAGATTGCTCAAGGGGACGAGAATCCAACTCTGCAACGCAAGACGACCCTTCTGATTAGCGAGGTGCTGAAACTCGCTAGTCGCCTCCTACCTCCATCCTGGAGCGCCGAGCTTCACCTCCTGCCGGAACTCTTCTCATCAGCTGCCAACATTGGTAACAATGATCATTGGGTCGCCTCGGGGATCGTTTACCAGATCAGCAGTGTTAGTCGTACTTTATACAGAAGTGCGCCTACGGGTGCCTTGTCCGGGGCATTATCGTCAGGTCACAACTCGAATGACATATCCGCGATCGATGAGGCCCCGAAATCTCACCAATCTTTGGTTTTTGATGATGCTACTTTCCGGCAACTGTTGATTGATAGTAATGTCCTCAACAGCTCGAACTATGCTAAGTGGAACTGGGAGACTATTCTCAAGATCATTGACGGCCCTCTCCAAAGCGGCAAGAGACTTGAAGAGGCCATCAAAGCATCCAAGTTCATGAAGAGAATCATCAGCTTCTATCGGCCTTTCAAATACAGGTTTGCTAATGTCAAAAACACTCGTGCCACACAGAAGTATGTCCGAGCCGGTTGTGCCCTGATGCACTCTCTACTTCAGTCTCCTGAGGGAATCAAATTCTTGGCAGACAGCAAGTTGCTCAGACAGATAGCTGAGTGTCTAGCACAATGCGATCCGGTAAGGCTTGATGCTCTTATGTTCTCCTCAGCTTGATCACTGACACCACTTGCTCCAGACTAGCGGCCTCACAGCCCAGTATCCAATGTTCTCAAGAGATCGAGTCACTGACACACTTTGCGCGGGCTACTTCTCAATGCTTGGTGTTTTAAGTGGTGATCCTAAAGGTCTTCAACTGCTAGAGCGTTGGAGGATGTTCAATATGATGTATCATATCGTGGACTTGAAGCAGAGGCCCGACCTCATTAAGTTACTTCTGTCAAGCTTCGATTATAGCGTCCAGGGTCATCCTCGAGTCTTGTTGTCCAAAGCTTTGACTGCCGGGACGAAGGAAATTCGAATTCATGCAACAAATGCCCTCCGCAAATACGCCATTCGGCCGATACCATCCGCCAACGGACAGGGTGGCGTTAGTGACTCGAAATGGGCTATTCAGCTTCTGGTAACACAGCTTTACGATCCCGAGATTGAGGTTTGTGCTACAGCTGTAAAGATCTTGGAGAAAGCCTGTAATCGCAAGACCTACCTGGAGTACATTGTTGAATGCCGGCCAGCTCTTGATCATCTGGGAGAGATTGGAGCACCGCTGCTCCTACGGTTCTTATCAACATCCATCGGATACCATTACCTGGATGGACTGGATTACATCAGTAACGAAATGGACGACTGGTTCTTAGGACGGAACGATACATATGTCAGGGTCATAGAGGCAAGCTTGGCCAGGGCGTTCCTCGTTGATCCCGACGAGCACAATCCTCGCATGAGTTTATTTGACGAGAGCGAGATGGACGGGGACTACCATGACAACCATGTACCACCGCACTTTTATCGAGAGTTGACCCGTACCCAGGAGGGATGTAGGCTGCTAAGTGATAAAGGTCACTTTGAGGATTTTGCAGCTACGATTCGTGAGCATGGCATGGATAAGGGAGATGCGGAAATGCTTACGAAGGTCAAGGGCTGCCTCTGGGCTGTTGGCAATGTTGGGTCCATGGAACTGGGAGCACCATTCTTGGAGTCTAACGACGTGGTAGAGCACATCATTCGAATTGCCGAGACCCATGAAGTAATGAGTCTAAGGGGCACTGCATTCTTCGTTCTTGGTCTGATTTCTCGCTCTACGCATGGTCTGGAGATTCTATCTGAGCATGGATGGGATGCCAACACAACGCCAATGGGTACCTCGCTTGGATTCTGCATTCCCAATGACCTATCAAGGTTATTATCACTGACACCGTGGAAACAAAAGACGGTAACATCGATCACTCTGCCGTCAAGTCAACGGACAGCCCAGGAGGCACCACCACCTCGCCCCGCTCGACCACCTCTTGAGCCTGCAGAAATACCTGCTATGTTGAGCGAGGCAGATGTTAACAGAAGAGTCCTGGAACTCATCGTGGACCTGGGAAATATGGTGCTCTACAAGAAGGCGCTAACTGACCTCCAGAAGCTTCGTGTACACAAACCTAGCGCCTTCAAAAGTACACAGTTCTTCAAGGAAGTGATGAGCGCAATGGAATGGAACCACTACCGGTTAGGGGTCAGAAGGATGGTTATAGATTTGTTTGACAAGAACGTGATGCGGCAAATAGTATTTGATGAGGAGGAGGATGACGAAGATGACGACAGTAGCGATGATAACAGCCAAGAGGAAAGTCAAGAGGAAAGTGAAGAAGAAAGCGGCGAGGGCGAAAATAGCTCCGGGGATGACAGGACAGAGAGGCAACGGAGCATCAGCGAGCCGCCGGCACCGCCACCAGATCTTACACCAGCTCCTCTCAGGTTGAGGAGGTGAGATATGGGCAATGATATTTCGAAGATATAAGATGACTACATAGCCAAAAGGAACATGACGTTGGAAAGTTTCAACTACACGATACCAATGACAAGAATCATGACGGCACGTTGAGGGGTGGCAGGCGGGGCTTGAGCTTTATATATCCTTGTGACGAGTAGCTGCTGTAAAGGGCATTGGTGTCTGGTCTGGTCTGGGTTTTGGATCATGGTGTTTTGGGCAAAACATCGAAGAAGGGATGCTTCTGGTTTTATCCGAGGGGGCTTCTTGGAACGAGATCAAGTGAGGTTGAGGATATTGCAGTAAGATATTAAAGCATTGCTCGCTTGATCCGACAGAAAGCATCATCTCATCGTATACCCAAATTACAAATTATTCTACGCCAAGGATTCATGATATTGAGGAATCAGGTATTAAGTGAATATGTCGACTTTGCATTTAGCCGGTTGGTTTTAGGGTTCATGGAGCAGATAAGTAAATAAGTATCATGACCTGATAATGTATGTACGTATGACTTGTAATTATGATGACGGTGAAATACTCGGCCCCACCAGAGCCATTAACATCGCCTGCCAATGCCAACCAACGCCGCTTCCATGTGTAACCGAACGCGGGATTAAGAGCAAGCTCAGCTCCGATCGAGGCCAAGTGACTCCTTCACGACACCTGTATCATATATATATCTTTCATTGGTAGATTCACCACATTGACCATTCTTTGAACCCTCCTAAGGATAAACTCCATCATGGTCCAAGGGCGAGTGCTTGTCATCGCGGGGTCAGACAGTTCGGGCGGAGCGTAAGTATAGTTTTCCTTTATACCCAGAGTGGCATGATGGAGCTTTTTGAAGGCGTTTTCATGATGTATTCTTTTGTGTTCAATTACAATATATGCTAACAGAAAACTATCAGTGGACTTGAAGCGGACCAGAAAGTCATTGCTGCTCATGGCTGCTACGCCATGACGGCCACTACGGCTCTTACTGCGCAGAACACCCAAGGCGTCAAGGGCATTCATGTCATTCCAACCGAGTTTGTCTCTCAGCAGATCGACGCTTGTGTTGAAGATGTCGGTGTCGATGTTGTCAAGACTGGTGAGTTGGTCAGTGATTTCTCTGTGTTATACAATGACTAACACCTTGCTTGATAGGCATGCTTGCTTCTACAGAGACAATAGAGATGGTTGCAAAGACCATGGTCAAGCATAGCATCCCATCGCTTGTCGTGGATCCAGTATGTTCCCACTTGCATTATCAACTTCTGAATCTTTCTAACAACGAACTTCTAGGTCATGGTTTCGACTTCTGGTGCAACACTCCTCCCCAATGAAGCCATCCAGCATCTCTGCAAGCACCTTCTACCGCACACTACGGTCCTCACACCAAACATTCCTGAAGCTATTCTTATCCTTTCCCAAAATAGTCAAGAAGCCCCCGAGGTTCGCAGTGTACAAGACCTTGAGACTGTAGCTCAACGAATCCAAGCTCTTGGTCCAAAGTGGGTGCTTGTCAAGGGCGGACACCGACCCATGAAGGAGGACTTGACTGTGGCCGAGACAGAAGAGGAGAGGAGTATTGTTGTGGATGTTCTTGTTGGTGGTGATGGTGAAGTTGTCAGAGTCAAGAGCCCGTACCAGGCGAGCTCAAGTACCCACGGCACCGGATGCTCTTTGGCGTGTAAGTGACCAAACTGCTTAAGAAAACTGGTCTGATACTAATTGGGTTGTCAGCGGCCATCGCATCAAACTTGGCCAAGGGTCTTGATACACCAACGGCTGTTCGATCAGCGTGCCGATACATTGAAGCTGCCATTCGAACAGCACCTGGTCTTGGTAAGGGGCATGGTCCTCTGAACCACTTCCACTCGACCTATACTCTTCCATTTGCTCCGTACGTTCAGAAAGCTTTATCATCTTTTGTTGTACTAACTCGATGAACAGCGGCTACTTCATCGAGTGGCTTCTCGAGCGCCCTGATGTCCGTGACGTCTGGAAGGAGTTTGTTTACCATCCTTTCGTCATGGCCATGGGTGACGGAACCCTGCCTCTCGAATCCTTCAAGGGATATATCATTCAAGATTACCTATACTTGGTTCGCCTTCCAGACATGTAATGATCCCAAGCTAATCATTATGCACAGATTCACTTTTCACGTGCCAATGCTCTGGCTGCCTACAAGGCGCAAAACATTGAGGATATTTCTCGCGTATGTTCGCTTGACTCTGTACTGTACGCAATCTCATGACTTCTCTATAGGCAACAGAAATTGTTCAGCATATCATGCATGAACTGAAGCTCCATACCTCGTACTGCGAGAGCTTCGGCGTCTCCATTGAGCAGATCCGTGCTACGCCAGAGAAACAGGGCAAGTTTAAGCAGGCTCATGTCAAATGATCTTTTTTCTGACTTTCTCCGTAGCCTGCACCGCATACACTCGTTATGTCCTTGACGTTGGTCAGAACGGCGATTGGCTTGGTCTTCAAATGGCTCTTGCTCCCTGCCTCCTTGGTTATGGTGCCGCAGCCAAGATGCTTCATGACCATGAGAAGACTGTTCGCGAGGGAAACACATACTGGGCATGGATCAAGAACTACAATGAAGAGGATTACACGGATGCTGTCAAGTTGGGCTCTGGTGAGTCTCCTCAGTTTCGCCGAGTATCTGTCTATTAACCAAGTTGCAGCCCTTCTCGAAAAGCATATTCAATTGCAGTCGCCTTCGCGAATTGAAGAGCTGGTTAAGATCTTTATCCACGCCCTCAAGGTATATTATCATCCTCTGGAGTTGTGACCTTTGTCTAATACGATTTAGATGGAAATTGGCTTTTGGGAGATGTTCCCTGCCCAGCAGACCTAAGTCAATATACAGACACACAAAAACCGGAGAAGCAGACTAGATCGATCAATTAATAGACATAGAATTGAGTATACACTTGGTTCCGTATGTTTCCTTGTTTATGTCACAAAATCCAACGTAGGTATCTGACGCCTGGTCCAGCCATACTCCTTTCAAAGGTGCCTCTATATATCATGCATGTTTGTCGAACCCATCCTAGACCATCTCCACTGGGCGTGGTCTCTCGTCGTCTTGCAACATGTATCTGAAATCTTGCTCAGGAGGAGGGGCCAGAGGAGGAACTGGGGGAGCGTCACTATCAAGGCTGTTCTCTTGTTGTCGTTGAGCTCGTCGCAATTGTCCATTCTGCTGCTTCACCCATGAGTTCACTGAGCGGAAGCGTGGCCGTGTATCTACCGAAGCTACTGTAGATACAGTGTCACGGCGACCGACAGAGTTGGTAGACTTCCATGTGGGTTGTCGTGAAGGCTCTGGTCGCGATGGGACGCTTTGGACAGTCTGAGTGGTAGGCGTCACGACGATGTCGCCATCACCGAAGCCAGAGGAGATCGAGGAGAGCTCGCTAACACCGGTCTGACGTCGTCCGACATCGTAGGCATATGGTGTAGTAGAGGGGATTCGCTTGTGTTGTTGAGGTTTGTAAGGTGTGCTCAAAGAGTCCTTGGGATCGTGACGAGCCACGACCTGGACCTCAACAGCGTTCTCGACAAAGGTTGTGCTTGTAGGGCTGACAGCGTCAATGTCATAGTTTGTAACCCCAGTCCTTCTGTCGCCAGTCGTACGATAAACGCCGAATGGTAGGCTGGGCACTGTGAGGAAGTTGTCAGATTGCTTAGGCATGAAGAGTGGTGACTGAGGCCGTGTCTTTTCAGCGAGAGGCGGAGAATAAGAGGGAGGAGAGTAGGATGGATCTTGAATTGTGTACCAGCCCTTGTGACCGTAGCGTGATCCGAGGAAAGGCACCTTGGAAACGAGGTTCTCAAAGCGACTGGGCTTGTCAAAGTTCATGTCATCAATTGGAGCAGGCTTTTTTGGGGTTTGCTTCCTTGAGTAGAACTTCCAGATGAGGAAGCCAATTCCAATTAGGAATAGAAAACCGCCTTGATATCGTGTTAGCAGTCTGTAATGTTATGGGTGAGGTTGACATGGAGAGCATACCGACGGATCCAACTCCCAGCAGGATCTTGTGAACATTGGAGTGAATACCATCACCACTTTCGACCTTTAGAGGAGTTAGCAAGGCCGATTTTGCACTGCATTGCATTCGACATGTCTTTCAATTCGAAACGGCTTGTACATGATGAGCGAGGGATCAAAGGTCTGACTTACCAAAGGAGAATCCGACATACTTCCTTCAGCTGATGGAGCGTCAACTGACGGTGAGTTTGTTGATGATGCAGGCAATTTGATGTTGAGTGGGTTGCCGTCGTCGCTGGTTTTGTCTTCCCCGCTCTTCTTTGGCTCTTCATCCTCATCCTCACTCTCGCTCTCACTTCCACTGTCGGCTGCGTCGTCACCTTCACTCTCACTGTCGCTACTCTCTTCCTTCTTCGCGTCCTGCTTCTGCTTCTCAGTCGCAGGGTCGACAGTATCGGTTCGCTTAGCATAAGGCTCCCGTAGGATGTTGATCATGACTTCGGGCTCCTTGGATGAAGTTGGAACATTGCTTCGTCTGACTCTCGGCCTTGCTGTGCGCTTCTTCATAATGTGAACATCATAGTCGTCGCTGTCGTCGGCGATGGTCCAATCTGGCAGAGCCGCACCAAAAGCCCTCTTTGCTTGTCTCTGCCACCGAAGGTGATGGGGCTCATCAAAAGGCGCCATTGTCGTAGGTATTCTGAGTTGTATTGATTATAAACAAATAGTATTAATGAACCAAAGGTTTTTATAATATGCCTTGGTATGTCTTGATATGGTTCGGATACCCAAGGCGTTGGATGAATAGTCTGGGTATCAGGAAATGAATGAGTGTTTCGATGATGCAAGTCACTGACTTGATCAGATAAAAGAAGGTGTTATTCAAACGAAGGTCCAGCCTTGATCAAGAGCAAAGGAAGAGAAGGACAAAGGAAAGAATATAAGGGCTTGGCGGTTTATGACATGCAAAAAGCGAGAAATGGAGTTTCTGCTAGTTGAGGAGGAAGAGAAACGAGAGGACGGACGAGAGAGGAAGTGAAGCGCGAGGAACCTCTAACGTTAGAGCTAGAGCTGGTCCGTGAGATGAGACACGATCAACAGTTACATTATACATGCGATACGATACGATATGATACATTATAAAGACAAGGATCCGACAGCCATAAACGGTGGTAAAGTGTAAACCCCATATGTACATACGGCCAAGGCGATCTCAGGGGCACGACGTGAGTAACACGAAACATTCAGGTCGAACTTGGCAGTTCAAGAGTCTTTGTCTGCTGTTTGAAAACACTTGGTGTCGCTTCTTTGCCCAAGAACTAAGATTCAGGATGGAAGCATGGTAGCCCGTCGTTGATGTGCTAACAGGGCTGGTGCAGAAATGGCTGCATATGTGTTAGCGACGGGTGGCCTCAGCTTGTAGGTTTCTAGTGGCAGGGGTTGCACGTCTCAAAGTCAAGCTCCTGTTTCAGCCTGTCGCAAGAGATTGATGAAGACGGGCTATGCAGGGGGGTTTGTCACTGCTCGTTTTTCATCAATTGGGTTTTCTGTGATAGATAGATAGATTGGTTATTAACAAAGGATTCAATCCTCTTTGACGGGTTATGCAGTTGAGGATAAATGATATGATGTCGATTGACGCTCAGACTATCATCAGATGAAGTTCACATTTGATGGTTCGAATGATCGACAGGTGGTTGGCTATGCTGCTTCAGATGCCCAGACTCGAGACACACTCAACGATCTGAAGCTCGTTTTGCTTCGGAATCTTCAACCTTCGACACATTGAGTCTCATGATATCGGCTTGTCTTCCCGGCTATCGTTTCCATCAGCCTCATCTGGGGTTTGCTCATCAAATGCCGGTCCCCGCCAGCAAAGTCGGCGATTCATGGCGCATGCAAGACGGTCCGATATCAAAGATTCAGACTCAGAGTGGAAGTTTGATGTTAAATCATTTGTGGATAAAGTCATCATTTGATGGACCCTGGAAAAAGTTTTTGCGTCAGTTCCAGACTCCATCTATAGTGGATACAGGCAATTGTTCAATGCTGCTCCAGCCTTCATGACAATCAAGAGCGGCTGGACATGTCGTCACAAGTGTTTCGTCAAGAACAAGTGTTTTATCGTCAAACAAGATCATAAACTTGCAACTGGTAGGATGACCCAGAAAGGAAATCCGTCACATGCCCTCTTGATAATATTAAAGATCCAATCGCATTCATCAGTGTCGGGAATTTCACCGAGTGGCCGTCCCCATAGAGGGCTAGCAATATCTTGCCCCCATCACCACATCCCAGATACGCACAAACTAAATAACTTTTGAAGTTGAAATAGACGCAGCCTTCAGCTCTCTCGCCGAAGACCCCTTGAGAACGCGCTCCAATCACATACCTCGCCCATGTCCATGTTCACCATCATGAACAGAACGCACTGAAGCGCGGATCCGTCATTAGCGCGCTTGCGGACATGAACGTTTTCTCGTCTTGAGGCTCCACGATGAGATCCACCCGGTCCAAGGGAGCGAGCACGGCGGGCACTAGACAGAAAAGGGGAGTGAGCTCTTTTTAAGGGTTCGGGTTGAGGTTCATCGCGAGAGATGAGTCGTGTGCGCTTCTACGGATGCAAGGTTGACAAGCTGTGACTGCGGCTCCGAGATGGACTGGATGTCCGGGATGCACTACAACCCCCCAATGTTTATCTGATTCTGGGGTATAGTACGAGAATCACGTCAAGATCTGGGGATTACATATTTCACCTAGATTTCACATGATAAGGTAGGGTGAGGCAGAAATATCTTGATGGTGTTTTGATAAAAGTCAACACCCCACGCAGATGATAGACATTTACAACTCAAGCCACCAAATTTGGTCAGCAACCAGCAAATGGCAAGCAAGACATCGAGCAATTACTCAGAAGAGCGGGATGAGAGATATAAGACAATAGCTTCTGTCATGAATTGCGACCCAATTACAGCGGCAAACCTACCATTCGCTCGTCGTTCACAATACCAGTAACACCTATTTGGGCAATACCGCGTATCTTCCATGTAAGTGAGAGGCTGTTAGCGACATGTGAATGCGCTAGGAGTTTCCCAAACAAGACCAAATCGCGCACCTTATTTTCCTACGGGCACCTAAAATTAACCGCCCTCTACTATCTTCATTGCATGAGCACTTTGGAGTTCTTGCGGTTAATATCATGCGCTCTGTATCCAGTAATGGACTAATCCGCGCCAACGGTTAAAAAGCCTCACCGACACACCGCGGTGTCTCCTAACAGCTCAGAAATCAGAAATGAGAGCGCGAGAAACCGGGTTTCCACCGACGGGTGACAGTCCCCTATTCTTCAGGGTCGGGGGTTTCCCATCTGCAGGCTTGAGATTCAGGGGAATAACCGTATTTGATTGGCATACTGCAATCAAATGGATATTGCAGCGTGGACAGCCTCTAGGGATAAAAATCGGGGACATAAAAAGCAAGATACAGATTGAATACTTGATGTTCCCGTATTCCGGATGCCGAAATAAACTAACAGTATACGTAATATGTCTATCAGTCTTTCATGACAAGGCTGTCTGCTGTTCATGCGCTCTATCACTCGCCAAAACGCTTCAAGGATCAAGCAGTCCACGATCAATGAATGCCAATGTCACATTTCTCTGCTGAAAGCAACACGGACGGCCGGAAACGGAGAGACACCGAGATTTATGTCGAGTTGACCACGCAGCAGAACAAAGATAGACGATAGTGATATGTAGTGGTGGTGATGGTGTGACAGAATTATGCACGTTTGTTCTGATAGCATGAGACCGATGATCACGAGCAGTGGAGGAGGAAACCCGCCTCCTTCACCTTGATGTTATCGCCATCAGTCGTCATGATATTCGAAAAAAAATAGAATTCTTTACAGGGGGTTTGCTCGGTAAGTTAGTGGAGTTTCGCTGATTTCACAACGGGCCGGACACGCCAAGGCCAGAAGGCGAAAGGCGACGGGAGAGGTAGAGGGCGAGGGCAAAGGTTGACAAAAATTTTAGGTGTTGGAATGAGCAATCAACCCCAATTTTAACTGCACTGCAACTTTTATCTGAACCAAAGCTGCGGATCGGGGTTGAAGCCCGGTCCGGTCCATTGGATTGGGTTATTGGAGTCTGGATTTGGAGACGAGAAGTGATAAGTGATAATCACAAGCCAAAGCGGTAGACAGTATCAGAAGGAAAACTGTGATTATTGCAACCACGAGTTATCACTCCAAAATCCATCATTTGGCCGCCCAAATCAAAGATGATTGTTTGATCTCTATTCATTCGTCCAGTGGGCGTCATTCAGGGCCGTGCAGCACCCGTAGCTTTTAGCTGAGGACGGAAGCTCACGCCGACCCGCTCCGCTAAGTTTGAAGCCTTGAAGGCACGGCAGGGAACCTGAACTTTTTAGTGGAGCCTTAAACACAAGCAAGAAATGCAAAACGGGATGTCTTATCTCGAGGGGGACAGGAGCAAAAAAGAAGCCAAACACTACCGAACAGAACTATGCCATCATCTTTTCTTACACCCTAGTTTACCTTGTGTCCGGCCAGCCGATGAGGGTCTCTCACTCGCTGTCTGCTAGCTTTGCCTCCAGTTAGTTACGTACCTGGGTACACTACCTTACCTAAATTCTCTCGCCCTCTTTCGTGGGTTGTGACTGATTCTCCTTCGACTCACCTCCGTCCGTCACCAGCCCCATCCGCTCGCGACGCCCTCATCTGGTCCAGAGACTCTCAGTCTGTGTCCTCTATTCTTTCTTTCCTCTTCTTTTCCCTCCTTCTCCCGCCAATCGCTCTCAATTGAGCTCCTCCCTAACAGATCCTCCCAATGGCTTCCTCCGCGCGAGCCATGAGGGCCCTCTCCCGGGTTGGCCAGATGGCCCCCAGCAGTCGCATTGCGACTCGCGCCCTTTCTACTGCCTCCAAGACCTCTGCTCGACCTTCTATCGCCATGAAACTCAACAGCTCTGGCCGCATCGCCTTCCGAAGAGCCTATGCTGACGAGGCCCCCAAGCCTAAGCCCAAGCCTGGCAAGATTCGACGAACCCTCCGATGGACATGGAGATTCACATATCTCTCTCTTGGTGCTCTCGTTGGTTACACATGTTACGTTATCTACGATGACCGCCACCCTCAAGAGCAGTACCAGCCTGACCCTTCCAAGAAGACTCTTGTCGTTTTGGGTGAGTAATTCTGCGCGCATAGCTATAGGCGCTCCTCCCATATGTCATGCCAAGTTACTTACGCAATACCCTTCCTTAGGATCCGGTTGGGGCTCTGTTGGTCTCCTCAAAAACCTCGACACCGAGAACTACAATGTCATCGTCGTCTCTCCTCGCAACTACTTCCTCTTCACTCCCCTCCTGCCTTCATGCACAACAGGTCTCATTGAGCACCGCTCCATTATGGAGCCTGTCCGCACTATCCTCCGCCACAAGAAGGGTGCCGTCAAGTACTACGAAGCTGAGGCTTCCTCTGTTGACCCTGACCGCAAGGTTGTCAAGATCAAGGACAACACCGAGGGCAAGGGCCCTCACTCTCAGACTGAGATCCCCTACGACATGCTCGTCATTGGTGTCGGCGCTGAGAATGCCACTTTCGGTATTCCCGGTGTCCGCGAGAACAGTTGCTTCCTCAAGGAGATTGGTGATGCCCAGCTGATCCGCAAGAAGATTATGGACTGTGTTGAGCGCGCTTCTTTCAAGGGCCAATCTCAAGAAGAGATCGACCGTCTCATGCACATGGTCGTTGTTGGTGGTGGTCCTACTGGTGTCGAATTCGCTGGAGAGCTCCGTGATTTCTTCGAGGACGACATCAAGAAGCTGATTCCCGAAATCAGCCAGCGCTTCAAGGTCACTCTTATTGAAGCCCTGCCCAACGTTCTCCCTTCTTTCTCCAAGCAGCTGATTGAGTACACCGAGAACACCCTGCGCGAGGAGAACATTGACATCAAGCTCAAGACCATGGTCAAGAGGGTGACAGAGGACTTTGTTGAGGCTGAGTGCGCTGGCCCCGATGGCAGCAAGCAAACTCTCCGCATCCCTTACGGCCTGCTTGTCTGGGCAACCGGAAACGCTGTTCGTCCCATTGTCCGTGACCTCATGGGCAAGGTTCCCGCCCAGAAGGATTCTCGCCGTGGTCTCGCTGTCAACGAATACCTTGTTGTCCAAGGCACCCGCGATATCTGGGCCGTCGGTGACTGCGCCGTTGCTGGTTACGCCCCTACAGCTCAGGTCGCTTCCCAGGAGGGTTCTTTCCTGGCCCGCCTGTTCAACAACATGGCCAAGACTGACTCTCAGGAGGCTCGCATCAAGGAGCTTAGCAGCAGCTTGAACCTCAAGCAGGGTAACTCTGCTGAGGTCGCCGCTGAGATTGAGAGCCTTGAGAAGCAGCTTCGCCGAATCAAGGACGTCAAGCCCTTCCGATACTCCCACCAGGGTAGCTTGGCCTACATTGGTAGCGAGAAGGCTGTTGCTGATGTTCCTTGGTTCAATGGTAACATTGCCAGTGGTGGCGGCTTGACCTACCTGTTCTGGCGAAGCGCCTACCTCTCTATGTGCTTCAGCAGTAAGTTCATCACAAGACTTTATTGACATTCTAATGGTGCTAACTGGGATTCTCTAGCCCGAAACCGTGTGCTGGTCGCTGTTGACTGGCTCAAGTCCAAGGCCTTCGGCCGTGACGTCTCTCGCGAGTAAACCCTCGATCCGACAAAACCTTTTATGCAACAAGGTTCGATACCCTGATATGAGATGCGATAGCAGAGGACTTTCTTTATGTTGTCCACGGACTGCATCTTACGACGATCTGTTCTTGGGAGGGTGTACTTGGAGCATTCATTGTGCATTAACTGGGCCGGACTAATAGATGTCTGATTAGAATCGGGCTTGGGATGGGATGCTTCATTTTGTAAACCTCGCTTTGGTCTTTCTTTACTTCTTTTTTTGGTTCTGTAATTTTTTCTTTGTTCACGGATATAGATGGGAGAGGCAGGCCCCTTGTATGACATAGCTAGAGTGCGCAGAAAAGCGAAAAGCAGGGAGACTTGTGGAGGATGGGGAAAAACGAATCAACAAAACTTCATATCGTGAACAAATACGCGGATCTTGTTTGTGCCTGTGAGTGCTCTTCGAGTTGCTCTCTCATACCTAGTGTACATACAGTATGATACCAGAAAGGGGGTTCTTTGTGACAACGGTTAGGTGATAGAGCACATCGATGTCTTGGTTCATGGATCTACCTTTCACATGAAGATTCTGCATCATATGCAATTTAGATGCCCTGTCTGGCCTGGCCTCATGCTCTTCATGTGGATATCAAATCTTGCATCTCCAAATGGTCCCGGGCATAAGTCGGGAGCTCAAGTTTGATTGCGGGGCAGAAGCTCCCCGCGTCAAGCCGATATGCGGAGCTTGTCATCTCTGTTAGCTACTTTACTCAATGAACGTAACGTGGGGAAGAGAGTTGTTCATTCCCTAGACCCAAGGTGGGCAACCCATTGCACGATACAACCTGGACTATCTGTGCACTCTTGGCCATGGGTGACTCCTCCAATGTTTCTGGCAGAGACCACGCTCTTGAGCTGGACTCCAACGACGCTCTCAAACACACTCGCGAGGAGTTCAACATCCCATCCAAAGCTGATGTAGCTCGCAAAACTCTCCCTACCAGTGACAGCACGGGTTAGTGCATTTCTCTGATATGTAGCGTATTCTCCATGTTGGTCTAACTCTTGCAGATGCCGACGATAAAGCGATTTACCTTGTAGGCAACTCTCTTGGTCTTCAGCCCAAACGCACTTTGGATCGCATACAGCAATACCTCGCGACATGGCGCACACAAGGTGTACAGGGCCACTTCAAGCCCCTTGATGACTCTCCTCTGCCAACATGGCTAGACGTTGATGCTCGTGCGGCCGAGATGATTGCGCCAATTGTGGGCGGCAAGGTCAGCGAAGTGGCTGTCATGCAGACTCTCACGGCCAATCTTCACTTGTTGATGGCGGCATTTTATAAGCCTGATGTTGAGGGACGGCATAAAATCATACTAGAGAGCAAAGCATTTCCAAGTGATCATGTCAGTGATTCAACTCAGTATTGGGCAATTGAGGCGCTAACATAAATGCTTAGTATGCTGTTGAGACACAAATACGGCATCACGGACTCCGTCCTGAAGACTCGATGATTACCATTGAGCCTCCAAACAACGAGGACATTCTCTCTAACGAATATGTGGAGTCCATTATCGAGAAGCACGCCTCCACTACTGCAGTACTTCTCCTTCCAGGTATTCAATACTACTCGGGCCAGCTCCTTGATATTCCACATTTGACTAGTTTTGCTCGCGAGCGTGGCATATTCGTAATTTGGGATCTCGCTCATGCTGCAGGCAATGTGCCTCTCTCATTACACGACTGGAACGTCGACGCGGCTGCTTGGTGTACATACAAGTACTTGAATGGCGGACCAGGCTGTATTGGAGGGCTGTTTGTTCACGAACGTCACACGCAGGTTGGGGACGATGGAACGCACAACGTGAGACTCGCCGGCTGGTGGGGGAACGACAAGAAGAACCGATTCGCAATGAGACCTGGTTTCGTTCCTGTGCCTGGCGCAGCAGGGTTTCAACTCAGCAATCCCTCCGTACTTGACATAACATCCCTTTGTGCTTCCCTCGAGGTATTCGAGCTAGCCGGCGGTATGGCTCCTCTACGCGAAAAGAGCACCAGATTAACGGCCTATCTCGTCTCCGAACTGCAGAAACTGCCGCAGGATATGAGCGCCTACTGGAAGATCATCACGCCCAGTGAGCAAGAACGTCGTGGGGCGCAGGTGAGCATTCTCCTGGCCGATGGATTGCTTGATGAGGTTATGGCTGGTCTTGAGAGGAGGAGTGTTCTGGTTGACGAGCGCAGACCTAATGTGATTCGAGTAGCGCCTGCACCGCTGTATAATACTTTCTTAGATTGCTGGGGCTTTGTCGGTGCGTTCAGGGGCGCTTTAGAGGAGGCCCTAGATGCGAGGTGGAAAAGGGAGCAAATGGATGAGTAGTCAGATACTGAGCGTAACAAATTACCACCGACTTGTTCAAATGCGACCAGCTATTTCGTGCTACGATAACTGATGCAATCATTTAATTTTAGCTCTACCACCATAGACCTACAGCCCTGTCTTCGTCATAAGTGTTTTTGGCCGTTCCTGATACACCTGGGCTTTGAAACTGCTTTGCGAGGTAGCCGTGCACCTCGAGTACTATGCAGGACGATTAGGCCGTGCTGACGACCTATGCAGACCTTACGCAATTACTAGACACGATACTCATTTATGCATTTGCCTTGTAAGCAGTAGATCACTACAGATAGATCAATTATGAGAACTAATGCTACCTAAAATAATTGCTGTTATAGGAAGTCCTACCAGAATTGTAAATAAAACTGTAGGGTAGGGCCCACAAGGTTCCTGACTAAGGTGGCGGTATCTCAAGGGTTCTTTTTCAGTGGAGCATCCATGTCCAATCAAACCGCCTCCTTAGACTATTATGTGGATCTTCCAGGCGGACTTGCCTAGCGGCGAAAGCAAAAAAAAAAAAAAATTACATGGTCAGTACGTCCGAGTCTGTTCTCTTAAAACTTCACACATCCTCCATTCATCTCTCCCTTTCTCATTCATCATCTCATCCTTCGGGCGCGCACTCCTTCTTCATCAAACAGAAGGCTAATCTCGTAACTTCGAGATATTATATAGCGCATCCCACGTCTCTCTTTATTCTAATACTCCCTTCCCCCCCCTTAATAGACGGGTCCATCTCAAACGGCTCCGTCTTATCTCTCTTCACCTGAAATAATGTCTGGCTACGACGGCGGATACAGCGGCGGCGGTGGCCGCGGAGGAGGTGGCTACGGCGGTGGTGGTTACGGCCGTGATCGCGGCGACCGTGGTGGTGACCGAGGCGGTGACCGCAATGGTTACGGCGGTGGTGGCTATGGAGGGTGAGTCGATTTTTCTTTGTGGTTTGAGTGCAGATTTGGTGGTTTCAGCCTAGAGGCGCGGTCGCTTTCCCAACGACAAGGCGCCCAACCATCAACACATGCGTTTCTAACCTAACATTTTATCGTATCTCGCTAACTTAAATCACAGCCGAGGTAACGGATACGGTAACGGAAATGGTTACAGCGGCGGCGGCGGTGGTGGTTTCGGAGGAGGTGGTTTTGGAGGCGGCTATGGAGGAGGTGCCGGCGGTGACCGTATGGGTGCCCTCGGCGCTGGCCTCAAGAACCAGGAGTGGGGTACGTGTTTCGCCCGTCATGTTGTTTTCGCATACTAATGTTCGTGTAGATGTCAACGCCCTCCCCAAGTTCGAGAAGTCTTTCTACAAGGAACACCCCGATGTCGCAAACCGATCTGACGCTGACGTGGAAGCCTTCCGTCGCAAGCACCAGATGACCATCGCTGGCAAGGATGTTCCCAGACCCGTCGAGACTTTCGATGAGGCTGGTTTCCCCAGATATGTCATGGATGAGGTCAAGGCCCAGGGCTTCCCTGCCCCTACTGCCATTCAGTCTCAGGGTTGGCCCATGGCTCTTTCTGGTCGTGATGTCGTTGGCATTGCCGAGACAGGCTCCGGAAAGACTCTTACGTATTGTCTCCCCTCTATTGTCCACATCAACGCCCAGCCTCTCCTTGCCCCCGGCGACGGCCCTATTGTCCTCGTCCTTGCCCCCACTCGTGAACTTGCTGTTCAGATTCAAGAGGAGATGAAGAAGTTTGGCCGATCTTCTCGCATCCGAAACACTTGTGTTTACGGTGGTGTCCCTAAGGGTCCTCAGATTCGCGATCTCTCTCGAGGAGTTGAGGTCTGCATTGCCACCCCTGGCCGCTTGATTGACATGCTTGAGGCTGGTAAGACTAACTTGCGTCGTGTCACTTACCTCGTTCTCGACGAGGCTGATCGCATGCTTGACATGGGTTTCGAGCCCCAGATTCGCAAGATTATTGGCCAGATTCGACCTGACCGACAGACTCTGATGTGGTCCGCTACCTGGCCCAAGGAGGTCCGCGCTCTGGCTTCCGACTTCCTCCAGGATTTCATCCAGGTCAACATTGGTTCCATGGAGCTTGCTGCCAACCACCGTATCACACAGATTGTCGAGGTTGTCACAGACATGGAGAAGCGTGACCGCATGATCAAGCACCTTGAGAAGGTTATGGAGAACAAGGAGAACAAGATCCTCATCTTTGTCGGCACAAAGCGAATTGCTGACGAGATCACTCGATTCCTCCGCCAGGATGGATGGCCCGCGCTCTGTAAGTCTCATTCATCATCGCACAACAATATACAGAACCACTACTAACATATGCTAGCCATTCACGGAGACAAGCAACAGAACGAGCGTGATTGGGTGCTTGACCAGTTCAAGACCGGAAAGTCCCCCATCATGGTGGCTACTGACGTGGCCTCGCGTGGTATCGGTATGTATCATCATCCCCCCTCCCTCATGGCAACTTCCAGCGACAGCACTTGCTGTACTTTACTCTCGTGTTTAGGGGCTCTCTTGACTGTGCGAATCTGCCTGATAATTATCGTGTCCAATTGGTTCTCAACCAACGGGGTCTTGATCCGTTGTGTAGCCTTCACTTTGCTATACTCACGTGTGTTCACTCTTGTACCGTTCTCACTCCCGTGGTACGAGTGTGGAGTTGGCATATCATTGCCTTTGATCAAGCTGCTGGCCAAGGTTCTCTTGTTCCCAGGACCCAGTGACCCGCATACTCCAGGATGGCATTTTGACGCACTTTCTATTGCCCCATCTCCGCTAGGAGTGAAGTACAAATGGCCTGCCAATATGCTTAGCCATTCACCTTCATCTTCCGTGCTGGAACGTTGCTATACAAACCCCTGCTTCGCCTGCTAACCATTCTTGCTAAAGATGTGCGCAACATCACTCATGTGTTGAACTACGACTACCCCAACAACTCGGAGGACTACATTCACAGAATTGGTCGTACCGGCCGTGCCGGTGCCAAGGGTACCGCCATCACCCTTTTCACTACTGACAGTGAGTATCCTTCCGCCTTATCTTATTGTCTTCGTACATGCTAACGATATTCTCAGACCAGAAGCAGGCCCGTGATCTTGTCAATGTTCTCCAGGAGGCCAAGCAGCAGATTGACCCTCGCCTTGCTGAGATGACTCGATATGGTGGCGGTGGTGGTGGTCGCGGCTACGGTGGATGGGGACGTGGTCGCGGCGGTGGTAGAGGTGGGTATCGCCGACGCTGAAGCAGCTAGATACCTATCGAGCTGACTGGATCTCCAGCCAACGCCAACAACCAGCCCATGGGCAACCGCAACCGTCGGTGGTAAGAGGTTGATTCATATTGGGTTGAAACCCTCTCATGATACGGATCCTCGGACTCTCAAAAGTATATGACACCCAAGGCGTTTGTTTGTTAGAGATAGGTGATTCGATTAGACTTGACTCGTCATGCGAGTCTGGATTTCTGGTTTGATTGCGGATCGGTTTGGTCACGCACTTTATGTGGTATTTCCTCGCTTTCTGTTTTATGTTATTCGAAATAATGGCTTTAGATTGGGATGATGATATCGTATCGAGCGGTATGGAAAACGCTCGCAGGTGGAGATAAGGGGAAAATATCCCACCTTCATTGGAGGCCTCGTGTTCTGGAGGTCGATGACAATCTTGTCAAGAGTCGAGCTGTATGTTTAATAATAAACAATTGTAGTTCACTCAATTAACACGACTCACTCTATGTTAAAGGCGCATTGAAGTATTGGAGAGGAACATTCCCAGGTTAGGTACTGTCACATCCGTCTCCCACGTATATATCACTGCTCCTTGATTTGTCTTTGACGATGTCGGTTGCTCCCTCACTGATGTGTCCTTGCCCTGCCACCGTTTGTCTCACGTACATACGTGTTGGTTTCTATGCCTCTACTAAAACTCAGGCTCCTATCAGCACGGTGATTGCGATGCCAGAACGAGACACAAGTTCTAGTTGCAATCAGTTGTATTTCAGTGTCAAAGATCATTCTCAATGCTGTTTGAAGTCTGTGTCTTGTTGTCTGTATGTATTTGAGTATAACTGCCTTTTGCTCTGGGACCGTGATTATCCTCTTGCGGACTTTTTTCTACACCAGTAGGCCTCCTTAGTGTCTCGAGATGCTGACCGCGTTGATAGAGAGCTGTACACTGGATATTTTGTCGAATTGGGTGTCGCCTTTGGCGTGTGTGATTATGCTCATATGTGCAGACTCGGCTTACTGTCGGTCAGCCTTTAACACTTTGGGCCATCGAGAGGTATATGACTGTCTACTATGCAGAGCTGCGCGATAACTCCTGAACCCCGTAGTAATCTAGTTAGTACGGCTATTGAAGCTTTGTCCTTGGTATTTTGACTCAATCGTTGGCGTCCGACTTTACTCTGGCTTGGTCCATCACCCCTTTACAGATAGATATACCTACTCCTCAACGTACGTCTGAGGATAAGGCCTTGATTATTGGCATCAAGGAGTGAAACAAATTCTATCATCATTGATCTCACGTACAAATAATTGAGTTCCCCTTGCACGGAAGGGTCACAAGCAATACTCGTGGACACCCCCCGTTATGCCCTGTTGACCAAATCAACGCAGCACCCAGGTCTCTGAATCTGTTCTCAATGGGTCCTATGTCATTGACTTGTCACTGTATGGTCCTCTCTAAGCGGCCATTCCGGACGGTCGGGATCTTCAATTTTCAAGGCGCCTTCTGTTTGGACCTGTTGACAACGGCCGTACCTTAGCGGTTACAAATTGCATAGTGACCTCGCGTCGTGTTATGGCACTGAAAGATCCTGCCACAGGAATAGACAGACATCACTAATTGGTATATCAATCTAGTCTGGTAATGTCATTGCTGAGCATGTGTTTGATAAGCAGGATTCTTCTGCGGGTGGTGGTGCAGCAAAGAGAACCTTGGTTGCATAAGGGACCTACGGGTTGATCACCTTCTGGCTCCTCTTTGAAATACCTCCTCTTCTCCGCTCTTCTCT